CAACATTTTTGTAAAATATTTTTTTAGACTTTTATGGTATTTTTTATGAAAAATGAATTATAATTATTATTTATAAATAGGAAAAATTATTAATAAAATGCACTTTTAGGCATACACAATTTACTTATAATAATTTTTTTTTTAACTTTACATTTAACTTTTTAAATTATAATCTCCGAACATAAAATTCACAAAAAAACTGTTATCTTTGAACTACTATAAAAAACTTAAAATATAATTAACAAAAATTAAAACTATTATTATTCAGAAATCGTGAGATGCGGTCTGGTGTGATGTAGGTTTCAGAAAAACATTTTCTTTATCGTGCCAACGTTTCGATCTTTATTGAGATCATCTTCAGGGCTCAAAGTGTTTGTCTTCTGTGTAATTGTGCCATTCTTGCGTGTCGTGTTGAGGGTCCTTAAACCTACATCACACCAGACCGCATCTCACGATTTCTTAATAATTATCGATTAACGGTCACTAATCACCACACATTAAAACTATTATCAAACTTACGTGAATTAAAATTTATCTTGGCCCAATCCCAAAGGAATAAAATAAAGGAACCATGGAAATAGGAAACTCACTCGATGAATGATCTCTTCTTGGTGTTCTCCGGACCAGATTATTGTTCCCAAGAAAAGTTGATGTAGCCAACTTGGAGGTGGCGTGTCCGCAGTCTCGAGGTGGAATGCCCTGTTAATCACCCTTTCCGGACTCTTGTCTACTAAGTCTCGAAATTCATCGTTTCCATTCTGTTTATTTTGATTTGTTTGTTACAATTTTATTTATATCCAATACGTTACAAATGTGATCACAAATCCGTTCTTCACACGGTTGCAGCATTATCATTAATGCCAGCGCTGCATCCGGATGGCATAGGCCAAGAGAATCCGGCCAATACTGGTATTCAGTGTCAAGCCAGCCGTCTCTTAATGCGTCGAGGCGGGTTTTTGGGATGGATAGAGGGCTCAAACAGTAGGGTTAAGGTGGATCGAGAGGTTGGTGTAAAACTTTTGGGATCGGTAACGGATTATTTTTTGGTCAAAGGAATGCTGAGATCGTTGTGGTTAGCGAGGTTAGTAACGTAGTAAAGGGCTTATTGTTAGACAATTTGTCTGAGGACTTTTGATTGGAAGGATTTGCGCGCTGATGGCTTGACAGAACTCTACAGTTCCACTCCGCATGTCCAAAGTGGTCGCAGTATATTCGTGTGTTAGTTTAGTGTTAATGACCACGACCAATTTCGGTAGTCTGTAGTTGTCCAACTCTTGTATAGAGATTCCACGTCAGTTTGCTCTTTAGTACTAAGTACTTGACTTAAATGGAATTCGGTATCTCTTTGTTTTCTAAGTGGTCTAAGTTTTCTGTTAAGGGATAAAATTGCATCTCGTCCGCGTAGGTGGTGATGACGTTATATTGCCTTGTGGGACGCTGGATTGTATCTGTGTGACTTCCGAGAACTCGTCGCATCTTACTCTGATGCAGCGATCAGTTTGGTAGGATTTCAGGATAAGGTAATAACGAGAGGTTAGGAAGTCATGCCGGGGTACCAGACCTTATCAAAAGGCATTGCTACATCTAGAAACAACCCAAGCAATACTCTTTTTTTCTCTTGGGCAGAGGAGATAGTGTCGATAACTATGAAACCTTGTTTGATCGTGGAATGATGAAGGTGGAAGCCGAATTGGTGAGGAGGAATGGTTTATTAGTATGTAGGCCGGGTATTAATCATTTTTAAATGACTCTTTCGAGGATTTTGGAGAAGGAAGAAGACTGATGGGTCTGAAAGACAGACGATATGAGTTAGGGGGTTTGTGACTTCAGGCATGATGGAATAATTCCATAAGAGTGGTTCGTAGGCTGTCATTATATATTGCGGTAAGGAAACTGGCTTTTTATAAAAGATAAAGTTTTATACCGAATGCGGTGGTGGGTTTTCATTTTTCCTCTTTCTTTTTCTTTACAAACATGCGAGAAGTGAACGTTCTATTTGCGAATTGCGGGTTCGTACTTCGCTTGTTTCAGTTTCCTGCCTTATACAAGGTCCAAATTTTAGAAAAACAAAGTTACCTTTTTAACACTCGTAATTTTTATCATTTGGACAAAATGTGTGGTGATTGGTGACCGTTTGTCGATGATTATTCAGAAATCGTGAGATGCGGTCTGGTGAGATGTAGGTTTCAGAAAAACATTTTCCTCATCGTGCCAACGTTTCGATCTTTATTGAGCCCTGAAGATGATATCAATAAAGATCGAAACGTTGGTACGATAAAGAAAATGTTTTTCTGAAACCTACATCTTACCAGACCGCATCACACGATTTCTGAATAATCATTTGGACAAAAATTAATTGGGGAGCCGTTGATATGAGGAGGGAATAGGCAATCTGTATTATTATTTTTATTATTTAGTACTGGAACGCCTATTTTTGCTTTTGGACATTTGTCGACTTTTTGCTCGGCACGACCTTTTTGTCATGCAAAGCCGATGACAAAATTAAATATGAACTTGTCATTAGGAAGTTTAGTTTGTTTTTCCAGTTTTTACCAAGTCATTACTCTGTGATGAACGTTTGTTAAGAAGAAAAATAGCTCCGCGCTCAAAAAGATGACAATAGTTATGAGTTCACTGCAGTTCATTTCATTTGAATTATTAGCCATCACTAACTGTGAGCTAAGAAAATCAATAAAATTTCAAATGAACAAACTGCACGTAAAAGAAAACGATTAGTTTCCGTATTAAAATCAGAACTAATGTCTTCTGTCGTAAAAAGTGTTAGATGTATCGACCACTTTTTTACTCACGAATAATATGGATCTCGGTCTGGTACTCTGGATGAAAAACAGATTCAATCGTTATCTACCAAGCTTTCGAACGATTTTAAGGTCACCATCAGCGCGAAACGAGCTTACAGCCGTATGACCCAGACACCCAAGTTAGTCCAGCAGACATTAAAATCGCAATGAAAAGATTAACCTGGAAATACCAAAAAATTATAATCAGTGAAACCGACTGTGAAGCCTTGGGGCCCGGAGAATATGAAAAAGAAAGTATAATTCGTACAGGATTAAGCATTGACCACACCCGCCTGACACATGGGCATCTCCTCGTCGGAAAGAGACCCACGAGGAGTCCCCTGTGCGGCGCGGCTGTAACAGTAAAAATATATTTTAGAAGAGTATGAACGACTAACACCGCACAGGATTCGGCGTGGCCTGCCTAACGATTTACGAAAAATAGTAAAGCACAGCAATGATCATAAAGATAAAGACATTAAATATCTAAAATCGATAAACGCATATGTAACTCCTCGCACTGGTTTTTATGTATTTCGTTGGTATGAATGTATTTATTTGCATGCAGTGTGAATAGACTGGTCTGTGGAGAAATGGTTTATAAAGGTTCTTATCTATAAGAATGTATTTATTTGCATGAGTGGTTAAGTGTGTATGGGCGGGTCTGTGGTGGAATATAGAGTACCCCGTAATCCCGTCAAACTAGGTAGGTTAGTTATCTCCCTTCCTCCCTCTCTAACCCTCTCTCTCCCCTCCCCCTCTCTCTCCCCTCCCCCTCNTATAATTAGATCCACATTATTCTGTCTCAAATACATGTCTCAACCTTATTGATCTAAATAACACATAAAAAAATTAAGTTCCATCAGATTGTAATAATTACTTAAAACTTGCGCGTAGGAATTTTGTGTAATCTAATGATCAGATTGTAGTATTCTATTTAAGATGTGGTGTAGAAATTTTGTGATACTTAGTGACTAGATTTGATGCCGGATATGGGTGAACTCACGCTGGACCGCATTGGGTTATTTATTGGGTCCGTCTTCACTCGCGGGTTGTCTCAACTATTTAAAACGATTATACTTCAACAACAAATACTGTACTGACTTCGCCCGCATGTGAAGACGGGCCCAATAATCCAATGCAGGTTCAGTATTTGACTAGATAAAATTATGTTTGCTGAGCTATTCAAAATAATCAGGCCCGAACATCAAACACTCAACAGACGTTTGAGTGACTCGCGAGTGAACACGGGGCCAATAAGTGATCCAGGTTCAGTATTTGACTAGATAATTAAAAATTATGTTTGTTGAGCTACTCAAAACAGTCAGACTTTTCAACAACTAACGCTCGTAACAGATGTCACCCACAAGTGAATACTACGGACCCAATAAATGACCCTATGCCGGTTCAGCATAGTGACTAGATAGTAAGAAATTATGTTCCATCATGTTAAATCGATTTAAACCTGGGACTTTGTTTTCATTATCATACACACCTTAAAAAAAGGGGTTAATTTTATTTAAAACAGGAGATTTGTTTAATCCGCGTTGATCGTTTACAATAAGATGTTGAGTTTTTGTGACAGTCGACGTCAATCATTGAATCCCACTCGGATTTTCAATGAGCCATCGATTATTCAGCTATCCTTGGTTATTAATAGTTTTTACAAGACTGAGTGACGCTATACACAAAGATTAAAAAAAAAGTCGCTGAGCAATTTTTTGTTTGTTGTTTCCTTTAGTTTCTTATATCATGTGCCCCAGCAACATGTAACGTCTCGGGTGTTACCTATACCTAATAGACGTAATGGAGTTGTTTTGTTGTCCATTTAGTTCGTTTTTAAAATTTATAAGAAAGGTTCTTAATTTAAGACCTATGTTGATTTTTCAAATGTCTCTATAAATTTGCCAAGGAATAATGGTGAAACCTAAGGCAATTGCAACATGCAATTTGGTTACGTGTTTCTTTCTCCAGTGAGATGGGTTTTATCAGGCGGTTCAACAGTTGTACGTTGAGCATGCGGCACGATTACATCACTTGAAAAATTATAAAATGACGAAGTGAACTTCTTTTGGAGTGAGTCATTTGCAAAACCGTCCTATCCATCTCCGGTCGATTAGTCATTTTATTTTTTATCATCTCTTATCTCAGGCGGGAAAAATCGTATCTCATCGTTAACGACGGATTCAATTAGAAAAGAATATAGCGAGAAAACAATCGAAAGTGAAGAAAATGGTTAGCTCGTTGGTGACCGACCACCTGCCTCATTGCTTTTACTGCTGAAACTCTATTGGCCCGGACGCCGGCTCCCTCCAAAGGCCCTCCAAGGCCAGCCTCGTCTCTCCCCTCGGTTCGGCAGTACTTTCTCAGTTCTTGGCTCGATTCAAACACCATCGACGGTTTTTTTTCTCTCATCGTTGAACGTCCAGGACAACAACCGGCGAAATGGTCTCCGGAAAATCGGTCAGTTTCCTTCATTTGTGGATTTGTGTGTTTTGTGGTTGGTTGTTCTGTGCTATCTGCGGTTCTTCGATGAAAAAGTTTGCCTTCAGGCGGCTGTTTGAGGCGTTTCCCCTCTGTCCTTACAATCTTAGTTAACGTTTTATTTTTTTATGAGCGTATGTATTTCTTAATACTTTTGAACTTTAAATCACGTGGAATCGCTACTGTTAAATAGTACAAAAAATATATATAAAAGTTTTTCCTATATTCATATCAATTATAGGGGTGTGGTTTGTACGTTTGTATTATTATTTGCGCGTGTGTTGTGTGGTGAGTTAGTGTTTGCGAGCGTGAATGAGTGTGGTAACTGAATAATAGTAGGCATAGGGGTAATTGTGAGAGTGTAGGTCCGTGTGTTGTGCGGTGAGTGTTAATTAAGTATGCGAGTAACTTTGTGTTTTTTTTTAATTAATAAAAAAATAAATAGGACGAGAAAGAGAGAGAGAAATGCAATGGAAGGCATAGAAAATAAAATAAATAGGATGAGGGCGAAAGGGAAAATGTATATAAGATAACGAAAGAAAAAAAAATATTAATGAATGAGTAAGAGAGAGAAAATGTGAATGGGTGGGAGAGAGAAAATGTGAATAGGTGAGAGATAGAAGATGTGAACGAGTGAGTGAGAGAGAGAGAGAGAGAATGTGAATGAGTGAGAAATAGAAATGCGAATGAGTGAGTGAGAGAGAGAATGTGAATGGGAGAGAGTGAATATAAATGAGTGAGAGAAAAGTGAATGGGAGAGGGAAGATAGAAAATGTGAATGGGTGGGAAAGAGAAAATGTGAACGAGTGAGTGAGTGAGTGAGAGAGAGAGAGAATGTGAATGAGTGAGAGATAGAAAATGTAAATAGGTGAGAGATAGAAAATGTAAATAGGTGAGAGATAGAAAATTCGAATGAGTGAGTGAGAGAGAGAATGTGAATGGGAGAGAGTGAATGGGTGAGAGGAAAGTGAATGGGTGAGGAGAGATAGAAAATGTGAATGAGTGAGATATCGAAAATGCGAATGAGTAAGTAGAGAGAGAGAGAGAATGTGAATGTGAATGAGTGAGAGAAAAGTGAATGGGAGAGGGGAGATAGAAAATGTGAATGGGTGAGAGATAGAAAATGTGGATGAGTGAATGTGTGTTTGTGTGTGTGTGTGAGAGAGAGAGAGAGAGAGAGAGAGAGAGAGAGAGAGAGAGAATGTGAGTGAGATAGTGACTCGTCTGGGTGTAAGAGAGATTAATGATGAATGAGTGAGAGGGGGTGAGAAAGAATGTGGGTGTGTAAGAGAGGTGGGGAGAATATGCGAATGAATGAGTTAGAGAGACAGATGAATGAAAATACTTGAACATATTGAAATAATTTTGCATGTACTATTGAATAGTAAAACTTTAAAGGGTTATAGAGCTATAGCCTGTTAAGAATTGTTAAGAGGTCATCTCTCATGGTCACATTTTCAAAGAAAAAACCAAAAATGTGTTGTCCATTTTTGCCCCCTGTATTGTCATATACGTATTGGAGTTTACAAAAAGTTTTAACTTCTTGCTTGTCTTACAAATGCTAGTTGTAACAACTGTTCATGTCTTATCATCGTTTGTCTGTTGGGCAGCATTAAAAAAAATCGTTCGTGGAATTTCTTATCTGTTAGACATATAAACACTGGGAACTTCGCTTTTTTAATTTACTATGCTGATTCCAAGGATGCTAACTAAACCCAACCAAAAATGAACACAATAAAACAGAAATTGTCTTCCGGATAATCATTAGGAAATTGAGTTTTTCAGTAGGTTTTAGCAGATGACTTCAACATTTAAAAATTCAATTTTAGCATGTTAAATAATTAACTATAAAATAGGTAATGAAATTTGTATTTTACTTTTATTTTATTTATATTGAGTGTTATTATATTATTGAACGATCAGAACTATAAACTTTTAGCTTTGTTTGAGAAATTTGCTGGGGAGGTTTAAAATTATACAGCATTTTAAAGCACGGGTTTTCTCGTAGTTTAGAAAATATTTTTGTCTTTCGAAACCAGCCCATTATTATTATTGTTATTATTTATTAAGAAGATCGCCAGTTGATAATGTTCGTTCTGGCCATCATGACTCTTGTATTGTTGTTTAAATTACGATATTAAGTAATCTTCGAAATGGACAGTGAATATTGCTAGAACGTCTATTAAGTTCAGTTCATCTTCAATTTATTCAATTACATTGTCTTACCATTAGTTATAATATATGGGAATTAGTTGCTCGAAGTGACGATGTACTCACGGGGATTTTCCGGCATCCTACACCTTGGAATGACTAATTTATTATATAAATATTATGTAAATAGATTGTCGTTGGGTTAGTTTAAAATATATAAGTTTATGAAATACGACTTAGGTATCAATATATAGGGCGATAAGTATCAATCACTACTCGTACGACAAAGTTCGCAGATGCTTCTACATCTCAAATGCACCAAAAAAGACCCATCTGATTATCAGCCCTTTCGTAAATATTCAACATTTTGTTGATGTTTTTTCAACTCTATACGGTTTTCTCTGTAAATCTATACTCGTAGCTCTTGCGTTCATTTTTGGGGAAATAAAAAAAAATAAAAAACAAGCTTTCTAGCTGTTCACCCTTTCCTTTGATTACATCGAACTAAAATGCATAAATTTTATGCTAAATGGGAAAAACTTATGACGGTGAAAAAAATGCGGAGTAGGGTTGATTAATCTTTCAAAAACTGATTTATGCTAAAAATTACTAATGCTAAAAATAAAAATCAAATAAAACGCATGAAAGAGAGACAAACATAGTAAACAACCAAAGCAGAAAAATTAGTTTGAATGTGTCTTTTCTTTTATTAAGTTAAAGTTGGTAAAAACTTTTTTTTGGTCTGGGTTTAGAGTAGATATTTGGTCCACTTTTTCTACGGCAGATATATTTTATGTTTTTGTTTTCATATAACCAGTTTGCATAAAAAAATCTACTTGTAGCTTTTTACTTTTTGAGCTTGGCAAATTTCATAACAACTTTGTTTAATAAGCTTTCTGGAGGTATATTTCTTTAATTACATCAAACCAAAATGCAGACATTAACTATTCATTTTGAGGAAATCGAATAAAAACATTGAAAAGAGCGTTAAATTTTCTTTGAGAAGGAACCCTTGTAGAATGTTCAATTTAATTTTTGTTATCTATGTATACATCTATGTTTATGCTAAAAATTGCTTACTCCAAAAATGAGAATTCAACGTAAAAAAAGATAGACAATAAACATAGTAAACAATCAAAGCCGAAAAATGACGTTGAATTTGTCTTTTTTATTTTTTTTCTGTGTTTAGTGTAGATATTTTGTACAATTTTCTGCTTTGATTGTTAGCTATGTCGATTGTCTTTTTTTATGTGTTTTATTCCATTTTTCTTTCTTTTTATACTTTTTTAAAATTAATTTAAAGTTGAGAAGGAAATTTTGGCTAGGGAAAAAATTGCATTACTGGATTAATCCCACTCCCTCTTTTTTTTTTCTCACCGTCAGCACTTTTTTCCCAATTAGCATAAAATGTCTGCATTTTGGTTTGATGTAATTAAAGAAATATACCTCCAGAAAGCTTATTAAACAAAGTTGTTATGAAATTTGTCAAGCTCAAAAAGTAAATTGAAAGTTCTAGAAAGGTTTTCAAAGGGAATTTAATGCTTTTTAGGATTTCCCCAAAAATGAATATGTAGTTGAAAAGCTGTGAGTATGAAAATCGTAGATAGTTTAAAAAAAACATAAAATTTTGGTTACATATCTGCGAAAGGGTTGAGAATCAGACCATGGTTCATACGAACTGTTTTGTTTCAGTTCGGGTGTGGAAGCACCTTAAGAACTTTGTCGTGCGAATAGCGAATCCCCTGTGTTATTGATATTCAGTCGTAATAATATTATATAATTTTCAGTCTTGAGCCGACGTAAGTGAATAGGAGTGTGATATTTAGGCTTAACTTAGAATATTTAGTTAAAAAAAGGATCAGGCAATGTATAAGTTTCAGTTTTCAACCAAAATTGATGAATAGATAGGAATGTAGTATTTTCTAGGCTTAACTTAGAATTTTGAGTTAAATATATTAGTAAAATAAAGCTCTTGTAATATATAATTTTCAGTTTTCAACCAATATTAGTGAATAATTAGAAGAGTCGTATCTAGGTTAACTTCAAATTTTCAGTTAAATAATGGATCTTGTAACATATATAATTTTCAATTTTCAACTAACATTGGTGAATAGTGAGGAATATGATATTTTCTAGGCTTAACTTAGAATTTTTAGGTAAATAAAGGATCTTGTAAAAAAATTTGTTAATTTTCAGTTATTCAGGTGTAATAATATCAAAACGATTCTGTTATATTTTTTAGAGCTAAAATGCAAAATAGTAAATTCTTTAAAGGTGATTCAAACCAATCAAATTAGTCCTGAACGTTTCCATTTGATAGTAGATCATCTTGACCTACATTTATCCCATTTAATACCTTCTTAAAACGAAATGTATCAATGTCTCGTGCTTCGTAGAAAGAAACAATTATTGTCAATATTTATAAAAAGTAAATAGTTTTATTTGGGCTTTTTGAATTGTCCAAATTTAGAAATCATAAAATTGATTTATAAAGTTGAGAAGAGTATCTGCGAAGCTTCTAGTATTTCACGTCAAAGGAATGGAAAGAAAATAAATGGGATATTTTCGACGAGACTAAAAAAAACCTAAAACTGAAAGAAAGGGTTTTTAGGAAGTTTTAGAATTATTGTCGAGTATTTGTGGTTTGAGTGTTTAAACTCTGTTGTCTGTAATAAATTTGAAGCAGTCTTTCATTACTGTACGGTCTGATAATGGTGCTAAGCTAAAAATGTTCAAGAGAAAACTGCGCTGTTTAAACTGACCAAGAATAAATAAAAATTCTATGTATAGGGCAAAAACAAACGTTTTAAAAATCCAAGCTTTATGGGGCAAATTCTGAAAGTTTGAAGCTGACTTTTTTTCTGATATGTTCAGGTAATTGTTTAATCAATTGATTTTAAAATGTAATATTTTTTTCCAGCTAAATGTTCGCGTTACGACGATGGACGCCGAGTTGGAGTTTTCTATCCAACAATCCACAACCGGCAAACAGCTCTTCGACCAGGTGGTGAAGACCATCGGCCTCCGCGAAGTTTGGTTTTTTGGACTTCAGTACACGGACGGAAAAGGGGACTCGACGTGGATCAAACTCTACAAAAAGGTCAGTTTTAACTGCCCAAACACCGACAAAGAAATTAAACGCTTTTGTTGAACAATTCTTTGTTTTCCACCGTGCCGGAATTTTATAGAAACAAACGCGAAAAGTCCTCGTTTTTACATAATTGTCCTTGCAAGTTGAACACAATGCCTTATAAATACAGTGCTTGTATGGCTGTTTGTTCTCATGAATCACAAAGAAATACATATCCTTTTCGTTTTGTGATGCTCTCGGCGGCCGAATAACGTGGGGCGTTTTCCCAAGGTATAATGCCATCAATATTCACAACGTTTGTCACTTTGCCGTGGATTTTTGTTCTGTGTGATTATTAAATATTGACCTAGTTCCTTCACACGCTACCTTGATATAAAAATAACTATTAAAGAAAGAGTTTTTGGGAAATTCATTCGGGATGCACGACTGCAGGTCGACCTTGGTTAAGGTAAACCTGGCTAGGTCAGATGTGTAAGGCATGTCAAGGAAAGCTTCTTCTCATCCTAGTGTGCCGTATGTCGACCTATTATGTCACTTAACTTTAGCATGATATTTAAAAAATATGGATTTAAAATTTATTGCCTGTTATTTTTAAAATTAACTTTAGGCCCCGATTTTTCAGTATCCCTACTAGCTCCACTTTCATGAAAATTTATTTTCATGGCATACCTTATAATCAATATGCTTTTCTTTTCTCCTACAAATATAATTTTTTAACGTTTTTATCCTTTTCAACGCTGTTTAAATACTTTTCGAGCTCCTCTGGGCTACTTCTCAGCCAATCTAGATGCATGATACAAAGGTAACAACTGTTGTTTAATGCTGCAGTTCAAAAAGACCTTCCAAACCAAATAAAGAATGTGAAGTTCATTAAAGCACAAATCCCAAATAATTTTTTCCTCCCTCTTACAAATATAATTTTTTTTAGAAACCTTTTACATCTTTTTATGGCTGTTTAAGTCCTTTAAGGCTGCTCCTCTTAGCTCCTTCTAAGCCAATGTACATGGTACAATAGTTGCAACAATAATTGTATAATGTAGGTAATTCAAAGATGAAATAAAGAATGTGAAAAGCATGATGTTAAATAAAGCACAAATCCCAAATAATTTTCTAGATTTAAAATATGGCCAATTGGAATGAAAACCCTCAGCTTCTTTTTTGAGCTGTCAATACATACTGAATACATTCGCTTCATCAGGAATTTAAACAACAATTAATAATATTACAAGTTTAATAAATATCAACCTTTGTTTACCTGTTGATTTATTTGTCGATAATTCAAGCGGATTATTATTATAAATTTACAATGATGGAGATCAAACATAACCCATCCATTCTGCATATATCAGAAATATAACCCTCAAAAGATCGATGAAGAAACTTGTTTTCTCTTACCATTGGGATTACCCCAGGTTTTTAATATAAAATAACAATACTGAAGGCTGATATTAATTATATCGGAAATAATATAGGGTTACTCATTCTTTACAATTTAAAAAAGATGTATGTGGCTGTGGTGAATATTTATAGCAGCCGGTTTTGTTGTCGTCAATTTGCTTGGTTAGTTTTCTAAATTGTATTTTAACCATAATATTAGATTTTTTTTGCACCATTAAAATTCAGAACATTTTATCCATCTTGCAATGTGCAAATTGGTTAGAATTTTATATTTAGCAAATTGTAGGCCCTATGTATTAGTCTTTAAACATATTTTTTTACATGGTAATCATCAATTAGTTAAAAAAATGACACTCAGAGACAAAAAAAGAGAATCATATTTTGTTGTTTATTTCAAACTATATGTATTTTTATCATTATACTTATTACACCATAATTTATTTTAATGAAAACAAATTAAACGAGATCAGAAATTCATGAGTTTTAATGATTATTATTTAATCATGATGGTTTTGAAAGAAAATTCAACGAAAACACAGGAAAATAATTTAGTTAAGGAATAAATTTTTTATTTAAATTTTATTCTATCACTGATTTTCTGGTATTTTGGTTTTCTTTCAAACCATCATAATTAATTAATTTTTTTAAACTCGTGAATTTCTAATTTAATTTGAACTTTAAACTTTTAAATTTACTAATTCACTACTTTCGTGGTCCGCTTGACCAATTAATACATGACAATTAATTAAGGTTTAATAAATAATTTAAATTTACATTAAAGTAGGGTGCTATAATTACAATAAATACAATAAAAATACATACACATAGTTTGAAATAAACAACAAAATACAAGTGTCCAGTTTTTGTCTTAGTGTATGCATTGTAATATTTTTAATAATATATTTTTTATCACTTAAATGTAATATCCTGGGCTGAATTTGTTGATATATTTTAAAATTTATTTTTTTATTTTTCCAATCCAATTTGGTTTTTTTATGTAATTATATACATATATGTACAGACAATTGTATCCACCTTTAATGTTTAATTTTTGATCAGTAACAGACAGTTTTTAAATAGTGTAATTTCTAATTTATGATTTATTTTCCAATTATATCTTGTTTAGTTAAAGGGAGATAAATTATATCATAAGGAAATGAAATTAGCACAGTGCATATGACTTTTTCTTGATTAGTTAGAATGTGTGTGTAGTCACTTCAGATTAATTTCAATTAAAAGAAGAAAATAAAAAGAAAAAAAAGCTTTTGCTTCCATCTCCCTTTATGTTTGAAAATGAGAGATGTGTTTCATCCATGAGCAAGGGGATTAAGTATTTTTACAGAGCATGCCCTAAACTAATACCTACTTACTTTCATCTATTTAAATATAACTATAAATCTACGTTCAGGATAATTGGAAATGGCCTGTAGGAAAATGAAATAAAAGCAGAATAATTTGATAATAATAAAAAAAATGTTTTTTGTTTAAAAAGCAATTTCATGGTTTTTTTTTTAAGTAAATTAATTACAAAAAGTAAAATTATTTTAAAAACCCACATAGAATTTTTTTTTAATAAAAACCAAATTAGCCAAAAAGGCAAATTAGCCTTAAAAATTTCCGATATAAAATATAATGAAAAATAATTAAAATACTGTTTTGTAAATATTTTATTTTTTAATTTTGTTACAATTGCTTGTGTTGCACTGTTTTGTTGTTATAGAATGTGTTAACATTTTAATTAACATGTTTAGATTTTTTATGGCAAATTTTGTTGCATGAGAAAGTATTGTTTAAGTTATCATCTCACGCTAGATAATACTTGATTAATTTTTATTTCAATTTTATATTGCATGCTAGCCTGACAATCTCATCACGAGGATAACAAAAATTTATAAAAAACAACTTCATCTAAAAAACAGGATTGACTTGGTAAGGGGAAAAACTGAAAAGTAATCAAATAAATTGATCAAAACTGTAAGCTGTACGTTTATTTTCCTTATTTTAATGCATGGAAAAACCCAACTCAGTTATCTTTCAAACATAAATATATGCAGGAATAGTTGTCGACTTATTACATATTATAATTTTCAATCTTAACCATGAAGAATTTATTGGGCCATTTCATTTACCTTCTTCATCTGCCTTATTGTTGTATTATGTAGAGTAGTCTTGAGCCATTAGAACCCATTTCAAAAGTCATTAAAAACACATTTCATACAGCAAATGGACAAAAACAAATGTTAATTGAATTGTGACATGTCATACAATATGACGTAATGTCTTCTTTAAAACCTTATTGAGGTGTTGAATAAATTGATAGCTTGTGTAATTGAATATGCTTCTTTTTGATTGCTGCATGCTGGGACGCTGTGTGGAAGCAAGACATTGTCTCTTGGGTGAGTTCAGCTTCTAAAAGCAACAGAATATATTTTATGTATTAATAGTATTCCTAAATTCATGTAAAAAATTCTAAATAAACAAAACTAATTGTTTCATCTCATAAAAGGCCAATGTAAAATTTTAAAAAAATCTTTTACGTGGCATTCTACTATATTTGAATATTTTTTGAAGCTTTCCAGGATTTTAATTTATTGTATGTTTGTTAAAAAATATTGTAGGACATATTTCATAATATTTCTTGTTGATTAAAATTCATGTGTGAAATGAGTTTACGAAGAGTCCTTGGTTATCTGCCAAGGTTTGGCCAAGTTGGGTGGGAAAGGCCAATCAGATTTTTTAGCAATGAAAATATGGATGATTAAAACTAATTTTAAACAATGAATAAAGTTTAATTTATTGTAATGTTTAATCACCATATTGCACATAATATTATGCACTAGATTAAACTCCTTCATGACAGGCATTTTCCTCGTGGAACTTAATTATTTGGTTCTAATCTGTTGTGTTTTAAATAACTGGCTTATGTGACTTGAATTGTGAATTAAAAATAAACTTTAAATAGGTCTGTAATTTGCATTTGATTTTTATTAGGTGATGAACCAAGATGTAAAGAAGGAAAGTCCTCTCCAGTTCAAATTCCGTGCCAAATTCTACCCCGAGGATGTTGCTGATGAATTAATTCAGGATATTACTCTTCGACTGTTCTACCTGCAGGTAAACCCTGTCTATTAGCCCATTTTGCTATAACAATTTGTACGAAACCTATCTTCATGTCAGATCAAATCGATCTAGTTCATTAAAATAGCATCAAGTGTTTAATTACATTTTTAGGTGAAACATACAATCCTTTCGGATGAAATTTACTGCCCCTCAGAAACTTCTGTTCTTTTGGCTTCTTATGCGGTTCAGGCTAGGCATGGCGACTATAACAAAAACAACCATGGGGCTGGTTTTTTAGCGAATGATAGACTTTTGCCCCAAAGGTAAGAGCATAAAACAAGTTTTTGTTAAAATTGTCGTTATAATAATTTTTCTTCAATTATAGAGTTATGGACCAGCACAAAATGTCAAAAGATGAATGGGAACAAAATATTACTACATGGTGGCATGAGCATAAAGGCATGTTGCGCGAGGATGCCATGATGGAATATTTAAAAATAGCTCAAGATCTTGAAATGTATGGTGTTAATTATTTTGAAATTCGTAATAAAAAAGGAACAGAATTGTTTCTTGGAGTTGATGCACTTGGGCTCAACATTTATGAGAAAGAAGACAAGTATGTTTGAAGGGAAAACATTTTAACAAGTACAATTGTTAATTTTTTTTTTCTTTCTATTACAGGTTAACGCCAAAAATAGGTTTCCCTTGGTCTGAAATTAGAAACATATCATTTAATGATAAAAAATTTATCATTAAACCTATTGACAAGAAAGCACCTGATTTTGTGTTTTTGGCGTCGAGAGTTAGAATAAACAAACGAATCCTTGCATTGTGCATGGGCAACCATGAGCTTTACATGAGGAGGCGTAAACCAGACACGATTGACGTCCAGCAGATGAAAGCACAGGCAAAAGAAGAGAAGCAAGCTAAACAACAACAACGGTGGGTAATTTGAATAACAAAAGTTTAGGAACTTTTTGTAAATGATTGTTTCACTCACGGATTTGTTGTTTACAACTATCCGGAATTCAAGCATTAAACATTCATCAGATTGAAGGAATTATAAATCTGTGAATAGAACCATCATTTACAAAAAGTGAATGTACATACTCTTCCCACCGTAATAATTTCTATAAATGATAGGAAGTACTAATTTGTTTTCTCTTTTCAATAGTGAGAAGCTCCAATCTGAAATTGCAGCTAGGGAAAAGGCCGAAAGGAAGCAGCAAGAATACGAAGAGAAGATTAAGTCAATGCAGGATGAAATGGAAAAACGCCAACAAGACCTTCAAGAAGCCCAAGTAAGATTTTTGTTCATATTTTGACTATTTTTTATACATAATTGTTAATAAATTGCAAGTTGAAATATAATTGAGGTTGTGATCTGGTTGACCTTTGCTACAGTTAAAATATTTGGCATTTGAACTTTTTAACCCATAAGTTAGAAATATTAATGTGGTATGAGTATACCGTTTTCCAACTAGTGTCCTTTTATATTTCCTTTTCATTTAATTTTTTGATTGATTGCAAGCAAATTTGTATTTTCAAGGTATGTTACCTTAAAGTTCTGTTTGCTCTATGTTTTCTGGTCTAATCTTAAAAGTCAACATTGTAGGTGATAAACCAAGGCCTGATATATTACTCTAGACTACAATAAAAATCTGTATTTTGTAATTATTACATGTCTTTAAGAATTGGGTTGAACAAAATCATCTATAATTTACACTTAAAAAAAATAAATTTCAAGTAAATAACATTTTGTGCAGTGGTTCAAATTGGCTAAGCTCACGGTTTGTCTGTATCTGAAAATAAACATTGTTCGATTACATAACAACACCCTGAAAGATAATGTTTATTGCTCTCCAGGAAATGATCCGCCGGCTCGAGGAGCAGCTCAGGCAGCTACAACTTGCCAAAGAGGAGCTGGAGCACAAGCAAAATGAACTGACTGTCATGATGAACCGCCTGGAAGAATCAAAGAACATGGAGGCAGTCGAAAGGGCCAAGCTCGAACAAGAAATCATGGCCAAGCAGGAGGAGGTTACTAGAATCCAAAGTGTAGTAGAAGCCAAAGATGAAGAGACGAGGCGACTTCAGGTATTTTCAAACCATAATAATGTTTATGTCGCAGGCAGATAGTGAAGTTCAGTGACTTAATGAAATGACTAGGCACATAGTTAAAATATAATAATTTGTCTATATAACTAATCATTTGCTCAAATCAAATGTAGATCTTTAAACCTCGGCCCATGTTTAGTCAGTCAGTCAATCTACACAATGACATAGCTGTACTCCTTTTCTTTTGTCCCTATGTAAGGCCTCTCTCAGTATCACAATGGCATCTCAGCACGAATGGTTTTACCTAGAGTTAGATGTGTATTCCAAGACAACAGAAACATGAAAATTTCGTACTTTCTGTTAGGCACATACAATCTGATAGAGGTAAGTTGTAAATTGAATGTGATTATTAAGCCGAAACTTGAATCTGATGCTATTACATATATGGTTTATATGAAATGTTTGGTAAATTGGCTGAAGTACACTGTATCATTGGCCATGGAGGCAGAGGCAAAGAATTTCAAAATGCCATGGTAGTCTTAGTTGCATGAACAAATAATGTTATGTCTCGATTGTATATAAATAAGTAAATGTATTTTTCATTATATTTTATTTTTGACTAACTAACTGCCTAATGCCATATTGAAAATAATTAAGTGCCGAGACTTTTGATGAAGTGTCTAGGCAATAAAGTCATACCATCAGTAATTTTAAATTTGAATAAATGACTTGGCATTTGACCAAATTACATATTTGACTAAGTGACTGCGACATATACATTTTGTACACTTAACTCATGTAGGTTTGATTTGTGATGCTTGTGGGTATGAAAAGTATGGAAAATTTAAAACAATCTCTTTATTTTATTTTATTTATTTTTAAATTAAGTTTAAAACTGAAATTTTACTTTATTATTATGTTATATAAATATTAATTATCTTTAAACAATTAATAAAACAGCACCCAAACTCTAAGCATCTTGAAACTGCATTATTTTTAATGTAAATATCATATGCAAATTTTTAAATTATTCTAGATATATTTTTATTATAAAGCTTGTTTTTGATATTGCACATAATCATAGATATTATTTAAGAAAGTATTAATTAATAGAATGCACCTAGTAGTTTAATAAATCTAGTTAATTTTTAACAAATAACCCCCTTGGCTGCGGTTGACCTGTCGAACCTCCTTGCCCGGTGCATACATCAACAGTGTGTTGACTTAGCTGTTGTTACTGTCAACCATTAAATCTTTAGGCTGGACAGGCTCGCAGTCAACAGGTTAAATACACTCAAAGACAAAACAAAACAGGAACTCGTATTTTGTTATTCATTTCAATACTGTATGTATTTTTATATATTAATTGCAGCATACTTAGCTTAATGTAACCCCAATTAAACGTGGTCAGAAATTTATGAGTTTTAATAAAAATAATTTGATTATGATGGTTTCAAAGAAAATTCACCAAAACACTGGAAAATCATTTAGTGATGGATTAAAACTTATTACTTAATTTTGGTCTTAACATATATTACCTGTTCTGATCTCACGGAGGTCCTTAATTCTCATAGGCATCAAGTAAATAAGCAGAATCCCATTCTTCAACAAGAGCAGTTTTAGCTGTTCATCTCCTGTTAGAGCTGTGGTGAATGATTTCTCATAAATGTTCTATGCGATCGAACTATGTATGTGTGGTCGAGCAGTATCAGGCATTAACACAAATTTGTTCCCAATAAATTGATCGAATAGGACCACAGTAGAGTTTCCAGAAGAATTTTCTGTCTCTCCAGCAGTAGAGAACCTGATGTGGTATGTCTAGAGTTTGGATGATGACCATCGCAACATAGACTGCTATACAGATGGTTCACTTATCAAAGGTAAAGGAAGTGGTGCTGGAATTCATATACCTAAATTACGTATCAGCATCTTCTCCCCTCTTGGAAATAACACCTCCGTTTTTCAGGCGGAAATCTGGGCCATTAATGTGTGTTGTAGAGCGCTTATGGAAAATAAAATGAAGGGAAAAGATATTAGAATTTTTTCTGACAGTCAGGCTAGTCTTAGGTCATTACAAAAAGATTTGTCAACCTCACGACTGGTGGAGGAAATTGTAGATCTTATTAATAGGATCTCTTCTAGGTTTACCATACCAGCACATAAAAGACACCACGGCAATGAAAAGGCAGATGGCCTGGCCAAAGAAGGCTCTAATACTGCGTTTGTCGGGCCTCAACCGATATTACCTCACTCTATGAGCAGTGAAAGAGAGTATTAATAATAACTGGGGCCCCGGACAAAAGCAACCAAGAGAGTTTGTTAAGGTGATCAAACCAGCAGAATCGAAATGGCTATTCTCTAACTCAAGGAAGGGAATTAGGAGGCTGATAGGTATCCTGACGGGCCACTGCCCACTGAGAAGACACCTCTCCATAATGGGTATTATACCGGATCCTTTTTGCCATTTTTGCGAAATAAAAGAAGAAACAGCAAGGCACTACCTTGCAGAATGTGATAGGTATGCTAGGTCTAGATTTGAAATCTTTGAAGGAGCGGACATCACCAAATCACTCCACGAGATTAAATGGTCCAAAATCTTGGGGTTTGTGAACAGGTCCAAGAGATGTATGTAGGACCCGTGAGCCGACCAAGTCCCGGACCTTTTAGGGATGGGGTACGAGTCTACCCAGGCATTTAACCCCTCGGGTCTTGGTCGCCCACCCTGCATAATATATGCCTAGAGACGATAACAGTTTTATAGCTTACATTATGGACCGTTTGGAGTTATCTCTATATGAAGAAAACTGTTTATCACAGTTCTGTAGTGCTGGAAGAGCAATAAGTCTCTCTAGCATTGTTTTCATGGTCAACCACTACCTTCTTGATCGAAACATCCGGGGCCCTAAACCAATATAGACTATTGTTTATAGTAGAGTGTGGCATACCTACATTGACACTATGTAACACTGTCCATTGTTGGCCAAACCATCTTGACTTAAAAACATGCTTTCAAGAAGAAAAAACGAATACTCAATTTTTACATAGATTTATTATTTCATCAAAAACGAGAGCTCTGGAGAGGATGATTGAACTGATTTTCTTTATTATTTTTAATCTAAAGATTGTATAAGATTAGTAACGCTCCATAAAGGTAAACAAGTTCCAATGTTGTGTTTTTTTTTAAGTCAACTATAAATCTTAAAACCTAGTTATGAAAATGAAACAAATACAAACGTCGCTTTCTTTTGTCTTTGAGTGTAACTTGAGTGTATGTAGTGGCAGTTCAATGTATACAATGCTATTTAATAATGTTGTAGGAAGAAGTAGAAGCTGTACGTAGGAAGCAAGCAGAGGTGCGTTGTTTGTGTAGTTATTTATTTTATGTAGAAAGCTTTGGAGTAGTTTGCATGTTGAGTTTTTCATATTTTTGGTATTTACTAAAAATTGTTTTCTAACACAGGAAGAGGTTGAAGCCGCAAGGCTGAAACAAGAGGAAGCTACGGCAGCAATGCTTGCCTCTGCAACTCCTCAGCATCATCATGTTATGGAAAACGATCAAGATGATAATGATGACATGCCTAATGGCAATGTCTCCCGTGATCTTCCTACTGATGACAACATTGTAGATCCTGTTGAAGAGAGGCGTACTTTGGCTGAGAGAAATGAAAGACTTCACGATCAGCTCAAGGTATATTTTTTAACTTTAATAAAAGACAATTAGTTCTTTTTATTGCTTGGCTTTCTTTTCAGCAACTAGACAACCATCAAACATTTTCTTTTTATTGATATCGATTTACTCCCCTCATCAGTCTCGTTTTCTTTTAAATCAATATCAATAAAAAGAAAATGAGTTCGATGGTTGTCTAATTCTTCAAAAGAAACCCAAGAAATATAAAAAAATCAACAGGAAGAGTAAAAAACATACAATTGGTTTTGTTTTTGTTCATTTCTTTTTATCAATAAATTTCAGATGCTTAAACAAGATTTGGCACAATCAAGAGATGAGACAAAAGAAACTGCTATGGATAAAATTCACAGAGAGAACGTACGCCAGGGAAGAGATAAGTACAAAACTTTGCGAGAAATCCGTAAAGGTAACACAAAGCGCAGAGTAGACCAGTTTGAAAATATGTAAAAATTTTAGATTTTTTAGAGGCATATCAATCAGAAAGAATGTTTTAATGCAAGCAAAATCTGTGCATTTTGGAAATTTTGAATTTAATAAGAAAAAAAAATTGGTCACTGGGGTTTTTTAAATCATCTTGCTTACCCTTGAGAAGAAAGTATCAGTAACTCATTCGATTCCACATTAAAATTTAAAAACCCCTTGTGATCATTAGCAATTGGAGACTTTTTAAACAAATTTTCATTTCAAAAAAATTATTTTACAGTGAAAGGCATTTTAAATTTACGATGCCAATAAGCAAATCATTCCAAATAAAGTGAATATGGGTGTGGTATTACCTTGATTGCCAAAGTTATTTGAACATAATCCATTAATAACGGGACAAAAAATCTATATTGTATCCTATTAAGAGAATTATTTATTTTTGATGCGAAATTAAGTGATGATTAAGTGTTGTGCCGTGTTCAAAAAATTATCGCTATTTTTGTTAGATTCTCAAAATCTATTACTTGTTATACTCAGTTGTTTTCAATCTGTTTCTCGTTTCATGTTAGTTGGATAGAGATGCAAAAACAATCCACGTATTCTCTAATGTTATGTTTAACCGTTAAAATGTCTCAGATTACAGTTTGCAAATGTTTTAATAAGAAATATTATTTTATCGTATGTGTCGTCTTCTACTTAATTATTTACTGTTAATTCTCATTTATTTAATAATTTGTATAAAAAGTTATTTTATTATTGTTTATATACAGCATACTTTAGGTTTATTATTCATATTTTATTTGATCATTCCAAAAGTTCTAATTTTCTTAAGTGGCCTTAAATACTTTGTGTATATTTATATTGTGATTTTACTCTTAGCATTATATATTTTTTCACTTTATAATAAGCTGAATGTAATTTTACAATATAGATAAAAAAAATCAGTATTACTGAAATTTGTATTTTCTCAATTTTATATCAAATATTTATTAAAACAAAAAAAGCATAGTTTTCATTATTTTAATAAAAAAAAGGAACTTAAAAGTAGCATGCTGGCAGATTAGTTTTAACTGCTCAATTAATAACAAATTTAACCATTTGGATTTCGTACTTAAAAATATATAAATTATATATATTTGAAAAATTCTCTTCGTCGATGTATACTTTGTTAATCCTTCTTCTCCACTTCCACCCCCTTATTATTAAAGGCAGTTTTGTATAAGTATAAATTCGCCATGATTTCAATATCCATCACTTGATTTTCTCCCCCAAATACTTATTACAAATATTGGTTTAATTTGTGAAGATATTTAAATGTATTGTAGATACTGTTGTATGTTTTCCTCTAGTTTAAGTATCATTTACAGATTTTGTTTAGTCATGTTAACAAAAAATAAATGTATAGCAATAAAACCTGGGGTACATAATATGCTTTGTTATTTGCTTATAACCCAGCCTCGTCAGTTTTTTCCACTTTTGAATTATATTTTTATATTACTGATTACTATAATCATGTACAAATTTAATCCTTACATTTCAGCTTTTGTAATTTGCAAAAAAAAACTGGAGACCTCAAGAATTACCCACCCTCGGGTGTTAGCAATCTGAACAGGCCTCGGTATTGTAAGTCGAACAGCATGGACGTTTCAGCCCCCAGCGCAATCATTTCTTAAAACGAAATCAATCCACTCTCTCACTCACTCTTAAATACCATCTTTCTTATGTTACTTGTTATTCCTCCTTCAACCCTCTCACACTACACATTCACGACAATTTATACATTCATTGTCAACACAGGGACAAAACTCTCATTCATACTGAGGGAGCGACAATGAAGCGCATGTACCATTGGAATTCACGGCACACAACACATCTTCGCCCGCCTTATACTTTTCTGTGAAGGTGGGGGGCAAACTGTTGACTGATACTTTACCATACAAGAAATTAGCTCGCTGAAGGTATAGTGGAGTAGCCAACATGGTAACAAGTACGGTGAGGTCATAGGACAGTCAGCCATTTGTCTAGCTCGAATACCATTCACAGAGCTGCTATCCTTAAGGCTTTGTATAAACGCCTGTATATTGCGTTTTTACAAATTTCAGTGCTTTATATATTTCTTATAAACTGTAATACATCAGTACTTTTTACTTTGTTATTCGTTTCATTTGGTATAACTGTTTATACAGCCTATTCCAAATGAATAGATCACATAATATTCATAAACGTTGAAAATGACAAAACGGGGCAAGTTACGGCTTTTGCCGTTTTGCATATTTCAGCACTTTTTACATTTGTTATTTGTTTCATTTGTTATAAATTGTTTATACAGCCTATTTCAAATGAATAGATCACATAATATACATAAAATATTGATAAACGTTAAAAATGACAAAACGGGGCAAGTTACGGCTTTTGCCGTTTTGCATATTTCAGCACTTTTTACATTTGTTATTTGTTTCATTTGTTATAGGGCAAGTTACGGCTTTTGCCGTTTTGCATATTTCAGCACTTTTTACATTTATTACTTGTTTCATTTGTTATAAATTGTTTATACAGCCTATTTCAAATGAATAGATCACATAATATACATAAAATATTGATAAACGTTGAAAATGACAAAACGGGACAAGTTATGGTTTTTGTCGTTTTGCAAATTTCAGTACTTTTTATATTTGTTATTCATTTCATTTGTTATAAACTGTTTATACAGCCTATTTCAAATGAATAGATCACATAATATAAATAAAATATTGATAAACGTTGAAAATAGAATGTGGCGAATTGGCCTGTTTTTGGCCTTTACGTTTTTGCAAATTTTTCTTTACTTTTTACAATTGTTATTAGGATAATTTTATCTGTTTATTCATTCTATTTCAACCAAATAGCTCTACTGCAAAAAGGAGCAAATTGGCTGACTTTTGGCTCTTGCCAATTTCCATGTATTTTTGAATATGGCTGAATTGGCATCTAAAGATCACTCTTGGAACGGTGTGCCCCGGTTTGGCCACATAGCTGAGGGTAAGCTGGTCTCCATGAAGGTTCGGCAGCAGCATGTCTAAACATCATATCTAAACGAACCCGAGTTTGCTTGAAGGTCCTGGTGGAAGAACCTATCAAGCCCCTGCAGGCACATTTTTTGAGTAAGCAATAACCAAAGATCAAGCGCAACAGGAAGTCAAACATTTTCGGATGGGTCTTCCTCTCCGTTCAACCTGAAGCGTCTTACGAACTTTAAGTGTTATATCTTTTCTCCCTTTACCCTCGACGGCATCAACATGCGCCTGCAATCAACTTTTGATCAGACTTGGGGCCTAGGAATCTCACCGACTCTGACCTTACTTTTATGTTAAGCATAAATAGATTGCATGTCATTTCACTAATAGTGTACCTGTTTCAGCAGCTACAAATTCAAACAATTGTACATAAAAAGTTTCAATTTTTCCCAATTCATTATCTACAGCGTGTGCCCTTTACCAGAATAAATGGTAAACCGGAATGACGTCTGGAAGATTGAATTTCTTATTTCATTTACATTAACTGAAATGCATGAGTTATTATGCTGGAATAGCATGTTTCTGTTAGAGTTTTCTTGAGATGTATTGTTCGGGGTGTTAATATAAACATTAAAAATTGCCAAGTCCTTTCAGAATGTCAAAAAATCTTATTTATGTTCCATTTGCATGTACTTTGAAGTTTGTGCATGTATATTATGTTATATTATGTAAGTTTAACTTTTTCCCCCTGATATATTTTAAAATGAAGAAATTTGTTTAAATTAAGAGTAGTTTTTTAAAGTTGTTTTAATAAAAATATGATATTCTTATGTACATATTTATTGCAGCCGATTTTTAATTTTTTAAATAATACTTTTAGTAAACTGGAAAGTTTGTGTCTACATCACTGGCCCAAGCATGCAGACCTCCTTTTAAGTCGTAAACGTCAACATCTTTTAACATTTCCATGAGTTTCTTTGTACCTATCTGTGAATCATTGCCCCTCCGGCAAACGACGTAAACTGAAACAAATTAAAATGTCAATTATATTGGTATTCTTGGTATTTTATTTAATTTATATAACCCACCAGATGTCTTCTCTGGACCCTCGGCTTTCGGAACAGCTTCCTCAACCTTATCTCGTTTACTGATATCATCCAAGGGCAAATTTACAGATCCTGCTATATGGCACATTTGAAATTCAATAGGAGACCTCACATCAACTACTACATGCTGTTTGCCGCTTAACATTACTTCGTGAAGCTGTTTGGCTGAGACTCGTTGAGACGGAGATAGAATTTTTAAATTTGGATTCTAGAACGTAACTCTCATAAAATTTGGATGTTGAATTAAGAAAAATTAAATAAATTTAAAAAAAAGTTAAATTCACTAATTTCGTGGTCCGCTTGACCCATTAATACATTACAATTAATTAAGGTTTTTAGTTGAGATGAAAAAAAGTTAATGACACGAGAGGGATTCGAACCCACGACCTTCAGCTTGATACGCCGATGCTCTACCACCTGAGCTATCGTGACCTCGTTCCATTCGGACATCAACTCCCCATCTCAACCCCACCTTATGCCCTCCTTTTGCCATTTTTCAAATGTCGAGTAATCGGTTTGGATTCTCGACGACAATTGAAAAATGGCAAAAGGAGGGAAAACTCATAAGGTGGGGTTGAGATGGGGAGTTGATGTCCGAGTGGATTGAGGTCACGATAGCTCAGGTGGTAGAGCAGCGGCATATCAAGCCGAAGGTCGTGGGTTCGTATCCGTCTCATGCCAACTTTTTTTCATCTCAACTAAAAACCTTAATTGTTTTTTTTTTAAGTAAAAAACAGACACATTTGAGAGAAATTTAAATCAATGAGAGTAGCAAACCTGGTAAAGTGACCAAGTGCTGGTCATCATCAAAATGTAATATGTATATGTATAAAATATAATATGTGTAAAAATAACATTCGAATATAATACATCGGTTGACTGAGTTTGTCTACTTTTGCTGGTTTAAATCTCACTCAAATGAGTTTCAGCTTCAAGCCATCTTCAGTGAGGAATAGTTCCAAGTTCCCCATAAATGATATAACCTTGTCCTTTGCCCACAAGAACACCTTACCTTGTCATTTGCTCGAGATCCACAAAACTGTTCATAATCGACCAATTGTTTTATTGTAGGATGGTCACTGCAGATTAAGCATTTTTCAGACCGATTTCTCAGTTTTACAGTTCTAAATGTAGTCTCAAGTCCATCGAATATTAACAATTTCCCTGAAAGGACGCCCTCATTCTCCAGAATTATGTTGACAGCTTGCAATGCCTGGAGTACACCAATTACACCGGGAACTGAAACTTTTGATTTAATATCGTATTTTTTCACCCACACACAAGTAATCACCTGGTCCTAAAACCCCCACGTCTCCACAATTGGAGACAGCCTCTGGAGGCGGAGGCTGTGGAAATAAGCATCTATAACATGGGCCGCCTTTGCAGTTGTAGACTGTTAGTTGTCCTTCCATTTTAATCGCGCTTCCAGATACTAACGGCCGATTGAGCAACACACAAACATCATTCAATAAATATCTAGTCGGTACATTATCCGTTGCGTCAATTACAATATCATACTTTGACACAATTTCTGAAGCGTTACTGCTACAAATCTGCTTATGGTGTTTTTCTATCTTGACTTCACTATTTAAGCTAAACAATAAAATTCTATGAGCTTATTTTCAAATAATTGATTTTGATGATTATTACTTCATTAATGAACTTGCTACGGATTCAACTTTTGAAATGCCGATGGAACTTTCTTTGTGTAAGATTTGGCGATGAAGGTTGCTTTCCTCCACGTCGTCATAGTCAAGAAGTCCAATCCGCCCTAGTACAATTTAATTTTTTCTTTTTAGTTAATTAATATTTCAGTTCATAAACTTTCGATGTACCAATCCCAGTTCCAACGAGGTATTGAGCAGCTGGACAACCCAATCCTCCACAACCAACAATCAGAACAGAAGCCTTTTTAAATTTCTCCTGACCTGGAATTATTAATTGTATAATTAATCGCATAGAAATTAAATTGTTTCGTAAGGAATTACCCTGAACACCGATGGACGGAACGATCATCTGTCGACTGTACTTCATCAGCTCACGGTTAGACAAAGAATGTTCTGGCTTAAAACAAACAATTTTGAAAAATAAACATCTATAAAAAACATTGATTTATTTTAGAGAATGAATCAGATGTCATGGCCTAATAAATTCTCTCAAATTAGACCCTACACTTTTCATGGGATATATATACTAGTAAGGTAGTATCAAATTTATTTATCTCTTGGCTATATAATAGCAGCTGGAAAAAAAAGCAAATGTCAGGATAGAAGATTGAACATCAGATGACATCGAAATCAAAAGAGAGGTGAGACAGGGGTGCATCCCATCACCACTACTATTTAACATATACTGTGAACACATATTCAGGGAAAATATTGATGATGTGGAGGAGGGTTTAAAGTTGATCGGTTCCCCAATAAATAGTGTAAGATATGTGAATGAATAATTTTCATTACAAATTGCCAAGAAGAACTACAAAGCCTACTTGTCAAGGTGTCTCAAAAAAGTAATGAACACATTTAAAAAACTGCAACAAAGATTAAATTTATGTTTATTGATAAGACACCTTCATGGACATAGAAATCCAGACAGATGACATCACCTTAGAGAGGGTCCTGACTGACATACCTAGACTGTCAGTTGAACGACCTATGGGATCACACTAAAAAAGTAATTTTCCCTTTACAAAATAATGGTGCTAGGACAGGATTACTTCGTCATCAACTATATTACTTCATAATCAATCTTAAGTGATATATTCACAGCTGAGTGTGTGTACTATAGTTCAGTTTTTCATCAAGTTTCTCCATTTTTCATTCAGTTGGGTAGTTCACGATGTTGGTGTGATGCTATAGGAAAAATGACTAGAAAGCAAGCATTTTTCATTTTGTTGCATGAACTCTGGAGTTGGAGGAGAAAATGATAGGCAGTGCAAAAAACTAAGTACAGGGATTATAGATGTAGATGTACTAGTCGGGGTGTAATATACTGCACCCTTTAAGAGCTATTGTATCCCCCATTCTCTGCCTAAAGCACACCGGTGAGTCCTACTTCATCAAGGAGCTTGATTAGTAGACCCAGTTTCGGTGGTTGAATCTCTTCTATGGTCACATTGTAGATCCCAAAGCACTTCCTCCTGCGGGCAAGTGTAGCACCACAGTTTGTTAGTAGATGTGTTGGTGTCTCCTCTGCCTCTGCAGAATCTACATGTGCCTTGGATTATTCCAATCTTCTTTAAGCGTTCATTTAGCTTGCATTGTCCTATTAAGAATCCTGTTCGCAGTTTATTTCTGCTTCCTCTGGTTCATTCTGCAGTTCTTTCCTTCTAAAATTCGTTAGGAGTTCTTGGATATTGTGTGTCCAATGAGCGAATTCCATTGTTCCTTCATTTTCTTTTTGTCCTGTCTGAGGTACTCATTGATAGTGTGGATTCCTATGGCACAGATTCAGGTCTTATCAGAGGTGTAGCGTCCTTGCAAGGTTGTCCGCTTCCTCGTTGCTTCTACTCCCAGCAGAGGCTGACTTTATTCTGCGTACCTAACAAGTTTAATTAGGTTGTGCAGTTCAACACCATGATATTTGAGCTTAGTGCTTTGATGGCTGCTTGGCTATCTGACATGATAGCTATATATGGATAATACAGATGTGAGCATATCTGGTGATGCAAACCTTCTAGAAAAATTTTGCATTGAAATAAATTATGGGGCTGAATGAACTGAGGTTCCGGAGATAAGGTCAAATGCAAGACACATTGCCAGAAATGTGCAGTTGGTTGTACTGACGCTATATATGGTAAACTTGATTTCACATGTGCCTCTTCTTTAGGGACTTGTGCGACATGACAATCAATAAAACATGCAGAGTAAATACTCAGGGTTCATATTTATATGATAAAATAGATAATACGACCTTGTTGAATGCTGAACTGTCAGATTCAAGGGATCAAATATCATCATAGAGTAAAAACAAGGAATGTGAAAACATCACTAAATAAACGGCAAGATTTATACCTGATATTTCGAGCCTTGGTGATTTTCTTTCTGGTTTTCATTAGGCATGTCCATGTCGGTTGAATTATGGTAGCTGAATTCGGACGAAGCCTAGAGAGTACTGACAAGGCTGATAAAACGGTGATAAGGCGTAATTCGAGATATCGGCCGGCTGGAATCGAGAATCGACCTCAAGGACTTTACGTTTAAGCCAAATGAAGTCAATTGCGGGAGCCGCGGTATGGAGAATGACCTGGGCGACGAATTGATTCTCATCGAGGACGATACGTAAGTGAGACTTTTAAGCACGACGGCTTTGCGCGGAGTGTCATGTTCATGTTAATGAGTCATTAAGCTCGGGTCGGAGGGCTGTCATCGCCCTTTTCTCAGAAATAAAAATACTAAACTAGCCAATTCTGAGAATTAGTTTCTTTTTACACCTGGGTCGATGGCATGAGGCAACAAAAAAATCAAAACAAAAGGACGACCTCGTCCTTGGATCGTGTGACAATTACGACGATTCTCTTCATGAATAAATCCTTTACAGAAAACAAAAATGATGGAATTTCAACATGAATGGATGCTCAACGCATTAAGTATTAAAATATTTTTATTTCTAAGAAACAACCACATCTTTTGTACAAAAAGATCTATTGTCAAATCTAACATTTGTTAAACACTGAACTTTTTTAAAATCAAATCGAATTTTGTTAGAACAACATGAAATTTTTCTTGGTCCAAGTGAAAGTTTTCAAATTCAAATTGAATTTTGCTACTTAGAACTGCTCGTGAGTTTTGAAAAAGTTCACTTGGAACTAGAAAAAATTGTTTTGATTTTTACAAAGTTCAACTTGAACTTGAAAAATTCATTTTCATTTTTAAATAGTTTGCTTGGCACTATAAAAATTAAATTTGATTTTGAAAAAGTTCAACTCAAACGAAAAATTTAATTTGATTACATAAAAGTTCAGTTCGAAGTAGCAAACTTCAATTTGAATTTGAAAAAAGGACTTGGAACTAGAAAAATATAAAAAGTTCAGTTCGAACCAACAACATTTAATTTTATTTCGAAAAAAGCACTTGGAACTAGAAAAATTTAATTTGATTTAGTGCTATTACATTTTTCTAGTTCGAACCGAAAGTTTTTAAAATGAAATTGAATTTTCCTATTACCAAGTGACATTTTTAGAAAAATCTGTATTTTTCTAGATACAAGGCGTTTTTTCAAAATCAAATTGAATTTTTCTAGTTCGAACTGAACATGAAATTTTTCTAAGTCAAAGTGAACTATTTCAAAATAAAATTGAATTTTGCTAGTTCGAACTGCACTTGGATTTTGAAAAAGTACTCTTGGAACCATAAAAATTTAATTTGAATTTGAAAAAGTTTAGCCTGAACTAGAAAAATTCATTTTGATTTTATAATATAACTATAACGAACTATAAAATTTAATCTGATTTTGAAAAAATTCAGTTCAAACTAGAAAAATTAAATTTGTTTTTCAAAAATTTCACTTATTCGACTTTTTTCATGTACTAATAGGGGATAAAAATGAATTAATTTGTACTATTGTTGACGAATGTAATGACAAAACTTGTATTTTGTGTACTTAGCACAATAAAACTTTTGTATCTTTGTATCACTTGGAACTAGCAAAATTCAATTAGATTTTGAAAGTTTACTTGAAACGAGAAAAATTTAATTTGATTTTGAAAAACCTCACTTCAAACTTTGATTTTGAAAAACCGCACTTCAAACGAGAAAAATTTAATTTGATTTTGAAAAATCTCACTTCAAACTAGAAAAATTTAATTTGATTTTGAAAAACCTCACTTCAAACTTGAAAAAGTTAATTTGATTTTGAAAAACCGCACTTCAAACGAGAAAAATTTAATTTGATTTTGAAAAATCTCACTTCAAACTAGAAAAAGTTAATTTGATTTTGAAAAACCTCACTTCAAACTAGAAAAATCTAATTTGATTTTGAAAAACTTCTTCAAACTAGAAAAAATTAAATCCATTTGGATATCTCACTTCGAGGTAGAAAAATTTAATTTGATATTGAAAAAATTCAGTTCGAAGTAGCAAAATTCGATTTGATTTTGGAAAAAAAAACACCTTCAGTTTTTCTTAGTCCAAGAGAACTTTTTAAGTTTTTCTAGTTCCAAGACTACTTTTTAAAAATTCAAGTGCAGTTCGAACTAGCAAAATGAAGTTTTATTTTGACAATTTTCTACTTCGAACTGAACGTTTTCAAAATCAAAATGAATTTTTCTAGTTCCTAGTACTTTTTTAAACTTAAAGCGCTGTTCGAACTAGCATAGTTCAATTTTACTTTGGAAAAGTAACCTAAAAAGGAACTAGAAAAATTAAATTTGATAAAAACCTCACTCGGAACTAGAAAATATTAATTTGATTTTGAAAAAGTTTACTTGGAGCTATAAAAATTTTGAAAATTTTAGGTAAAGACTGCACAATTTATTATTTGTATTATTATTGTATTATTTATTATATAAATGGCTTTAATTATGTTGTCCCGCCTTCTTGTGCAGTCTGCGAAAGTTTAAGCGCAACGGTTGTACTGTTTGCTTAGCCACTCAAATAAATGTGTAAACTGTGTTAAAATCGTTCGTTTTCTTTTATAAAGAACCCCGTTTACCTGACAGATTATGGGCCTAGGTGCGCGTATGCGTTTCAAGGAAGTTTAAGTCCGTGAGTGCGTTTTAATCAATTTACGAGGGTTCGTGATTTAAGTGACCGATGGACATGAAAACTGAACGATGAAAATTACGTGGAAATTGCAAATGCACGGCATTTTAGTATGTAATCAATTCTGGTCTTACTTTACTAGTTAGGAAGCACAAACTGAAAAAAATTGTGTTGTGGCGCAAAAATCAAAAACCCCTTGCATTAATAATGCATAGTTTAGCACGTGGTCACTTACATCAAAGATGTCGATACTTATAAAGTAGCTCGGGATTAAATCAAACGAATTCATTAGTCCAAATGAACCGTACGCAAAGTTACTTTTCACAGGCAGTTATTTATAATGAAAAAAAGTCCAAACATGCCAAATGACAAAATACCCGAACTTTTTTTCTAGTTTGGCGGATCGTCTAAATGAAGCAGATATTAAAATTCCTGAGGATTTATTATCGATCATGTTATCGGGATCGTTACCTGAAGAATACGAACATTTTACCGTCGCTATAGAATCAAGGGACCATATTACAAGTGTGAATATTTTGAAAGTTAAATTAATAGAAGAAGAAGAGAGTGAAGATTGAATTTAAACATAAATAATGAATCCTTATGCAGGGCGTATCAACTTCTATAGTCCACCCATTTAATTTGAAAACGATAAACTTTAGCAAAATATGGCCTTATACAAACCCCAATTTTGGCTAGGAATCGCGTGGTGGTAACTGATTTGACATAACTTTCTCAACTAGCTGAGAAATGACATTAACTTTGTTATTTTAAATTAGAATCCCGTATTTTTATTGTACAATTCGATTCCTGAGCTTATTTCATTCCACTTTTACTGATAGGAAAATTTTGATAGGATCGACCATTTCTGGTGGTAACAGATTTAGCATAACTTTCTCATCTAGCTGGGAAATGACACTAAATTTGTTATTTTAAATGAGAATCCCGTATTTTTATTGTACAATTCGATTCTTGAGCTTATTTCATTCCACTTTTACTGATAGGAAAATTTTGATAGGATTGACCATTTCTGGTGGTAACAGATTTATCTCTCAGATCTCATGTAGCTGGGAAAATGAAATGCTTTTTGTTACAAGATGGCCCTCCCCGTTTATTTGGAAAACGATTAGCATTAACAAGTTAATTTAGCATACGAATCGTCTCAGAAGAGGGTAGGGATCGTGAGGTTGCTTTTTCGCTTAGCTTATATTAATTTTTGAAAAAAAAAGAACTTTAGAAAAACGTTTTTAAATGATTATTTGGAGATCGGGAGATGCGGTCTGGTGTGACGTACGTTTAGAAAAACATTTTCTTTATCGTGCCAACGTTTCGATCTTTATTGAGATCATCTTCAGGGTTTGTTTTCTGTGCAGATGTGTCATTATTGTGTGTCGTGTTGGGAGTGCCAGTGTGATATTGAATCATAGTTCACTTTGAGCCCTGAAGCTGATCTCAATAAAGTTCGAAACGTTGGCACGATAAAGAAAATGTTTTTCTAAACCTACGTCACACCAGACCACGTTCACTAAACACCACACATTTTTTTAATCATCAACGAGTCCATTTTATTTTTAAAATTTCTCTCAGCTGTTATGTACAATAGAATAGAAATTTTTTTATTGTATTATAGTAAGTATTACATGTACAAGGGGGTGATGTCAGACATTTATAATTATAATTAAAACATAATTTGAAATACAAGATCTTTTTAACCTTTTGATAAACAGTATATAAATAAGTAACTCCAAACAAAATAAATTGGTTTTAAACCGATAAATAAAATTATCAGCTTAAACAGATATGTAATTATTACTTTTAAATATTATACTATGTACACATATCTCATTTTAGTTACTATAGCAAGATTATTAGTGAGTTCAGATAATTCCCAGTCGTTAATCCATTTGTGTATCACTGATAATCCTTCATGTATTAACAATTTCCAATACTTTGATCCCCCAACCGTTTCTGCTGATAAGATTCTCTTTATAACAGTTTGTAGTCCTTTAAGTTTACTCTTCGGTACATCGAAAGTCGTAAATTACACTCTATTTCATCCCAATCTGTTATTGAATCCTGTACCAAATTAAATTTGGATCCCATTTTCAATGCCCCAAATGTCAATGAAATGTTCACCATCCTAAATAATAATTTCCTTTTTGTTTCGAACTTAGTAGCTCCATTAATGAAAATAAAAATTTCTCACCCTGCTACGGCTTGGTTTTTCTCACATAATTAAACTTGCTTTTAAATCTCCCGATTCAGCCTGCAGCAAATGGAAATTCCCCATGGATACATTGGACCTATCTTGTAAAGTTGTAAGGAATAAAGCGAGAAATCTGGTCCGCAAATCACCGATTTCATAAACTGCTCGATCATAATTTACCGCCTAAGTCACTTTGGAACAACTTTAGAAAACTTGGTGTTAAAAACAAAGTAGACAGTTTTCATTCTTGCCCTGTTGTTAATGAATTAAACTCGTTTTTTGCTTCCATGCCCTCTTCTTTCCATTTCTTGCTCACCTAAATCACCTAAAATTTTCCTTAGTTTTTCAAATGTTACTCATGAAAATATTTCGGAAGCCATCCTTTAAATTAAATCTAATCCGATCTTATAACTATTAAACTCACAATTTTTCCCTCCCTTTTACTTTAAAATGCATAACCCACATTTTGAGCTTATTCTCTCACCTCATCCTGTTTTCCTTCACCCTGGAAGCCCTAATGGTTACCCGACAAACCTAAACCCACCCTTGCTGTGATTATCGCCCTAGTATTCTTCCATCACTATCCAAAGCATTTGAAAATATTTTATTTAAACAAATATCCTTATTTATTGACCCCCATGCCCTTAAATCTCCTTTTCAATCTGGTTTCCGAAAATTTCATAGCTTTGAGAGAGCCCTTCTCAAAATCTCAGATTCGCCTAGACATTGATGATAATAAGTGCATTTGATTCCGTAAATCATAATTTTGCTTATTTGGAAACGGACGCATCTTTTTGGTTTTTCTTCTATTGCTACTAATCTCATTTCCTTCTATCTGTCTGACAGAACTTTGAGAGGTAAAGCTTCAAATTCTATCCCCTCTTCTCTCTCAATTTCAGCTGGGCTCTATTCTTGGACCTTTGCTGTTTTACATTTTTCTAAATGATCTTCCTTTCGTTCTTAAATTTTAGCTCCCATACTGTCATGGCCTTGTTTACTTCGGAAATCAACCCTAGCATGCACTTCACTCTGATAGTATTTTCTATTTTAGATTTTTGGGCAGAAAAAACGACTATTCTCCAACTCCGGCCCTTTGCTGATCATAATTTCTTGAGCCCTATCCAAGAAGCTGCGTGTTTAGTCTTTTGCGCGGCCTAATATGACTTTCCCAATAATCGATTTCTAGTCTTTTTAATCTTTCGCACGGGTTTGATAGCCTTTCTCTGCGCAGCTCAAGACTTTCCAGATTGCTCTGTATTTCCGTGGCTCTATAAGGGTTGGAACGTGACCCACCGGTGATTACGCGTACTGCTTTATTTTGTACTTTATGCGCTTTGCTGTCGCATCCGACCATGCGTACCTCTTGCGAACACCCCATTTTTTCCCAGTTAATCTATTGAGAGTCGGATTCTTTTCTTTGCTTTTGTTGCTAACTTTTCAATGTGTTTAGTCGGACTTAGTTTCGGTTCCAGCGTTATTTTCCAAAGTAAGTGGCTTCTTCTAAACCGTGTACGTTTTGCTTCCTCGCTGGCTTGTTTCAGGTCCATGACATCTGAGTTTTTAAAAACGACATGAATCATCTCCTTTTCTTATAATTTTGCTATGATTATACTACTTAATTTATTCCTAATATAAGTACATGTAAGGGGGCTTAAAGCCCTATTTGTGCTTTTAAATTAAAAAAATAAATAAATAACGTAAAGGCTCTCAACCTTAAAACTCCGGAAAAATAGAAATAAATAATTTCCTTTTTGTTGGTTTTCATCAAAACAATATTTTCTATACTTTTATAATTATAGAAGCAGCAAACTGTGCGTAAGCTGTTGTTGTGTATTGTTGCAGATTTGGCCATTGATTGAAATTTATGTTTATAATAAATGATCAAATTCGCTTCCTGCGTTTGGTACGCAGTGCTATGCTTGTTTAGGAATTCTTCATTTGCGGGCTTTTCTATTATTTCTGGGCGGATTTCTCTGCAAGCTACAACAATCCGTTGTTCCAATTCTTGGACAGACAATACTGGTAATGGATTGGCATACGCTGGATCCTTCAAAGCCCGCCCCCAAAGAAAATAGCCAAATGGGGGCAAATCTGACGACCTCGGAGGCCACCAAATATAATCTTGCCTGTCAATCCATCTCTGTAGGGAGGGATTTTTCTATAAAAGAATGATACCGCTTGCGCGTTCCACTAAAAAATCAAATAATTTATTTTAAAACTCAAGCATTTCTGAAATCGTGAAGAGAACCCTATTGTTCAAATGTCCAAGCGAGATGCTGATTTGCGAACCCGAGGCACCTCCAGTAGTAGAGAACCTGATGCAGGAAGTCTAGAAAAGACAAGTCTGTTCTCACAAAGCCTTGTGATGACTGAGGTTGGGGTTGACTACATATCAAGGAAGCCAAATGACGCTTTAAGATTAATAAAACGATCGTCTCTAACAATCTGTTCGATCGAAACTTCTTAAACTAGATCATGGATGGAAAAGCGCGGCACACCAGGACTTGGGCTTTAAAACTAAGCATTAAAAAACAAAACAACATTAATAATCAATTATTTACTCAATTCTACTTTTTCATAAAAAATAATTGAAAAAAAAGCTCACGCAACAAATTAACTTGAAAGGATGAAATTGAACCGATTTTGTTGATTTTTAATCTAAACAGAATAAAAGAATTAGAAAAATTCTATAAAGAACAAGTTATTAGTGCTGTATATGCGTTTTAATCCTTAAAACCTACTTATTATGGAAAATAAAGAAATAAATACAAGCATCTTATTTTGTCCTTTGAGAATATTTGTTTATGTACATGCTCTTGTTTTTCGAAGAGGATTTACTTTAAACTTTGAAAAAGATGACAATATTGATTTGTTAATAGCTCATTTACCTCGATTGTTTCGACTTTTTAAAAATTGAATTTTTCGCTGTTTGAACTGAACTTTTTAAAGAATCAGATTGAATGTTTCCCATTCGAACTGAACTTTTTCCTAATCAAATTGAATGTTTCCCATTCGAACTGAACTTTTTCATAATCAAATTGAATTTTTCGCCGTTTGAACTGAACTTAGTAAGATAAGTTTAAGTATACATCGTATTTATTTGCATAAATGGATGAGATTATCTCCAATTACTTAAAGGCATATGGAGTACTCTGCTGGGGTAGAGTGTATGAATTTGTGAATTTAATTTATTAGCATAAATAGCAGGGCTTATCCCTAATCACCCGAGTAATATTGAGTACTCTGGTTCAGTATCTCTGGGGTAGTGTTTATGAATGTAATTTATTAGCGTAACTGGCAGGGCTTATACCCAATTAACCCGATGAATACTAAGTACTCTGAGGTAGTGTGTATGAATTTGTGAATGGAATTTATTAGTGTGAATGGCAGGGCTTTTACCCAATTACCCGAGGAAAATTGAGTACTCCGGGGTACATGAATATATGAATGTAATTTGTTGGCATGATTGGAGATGTTTATTCCCCCTCATATATCTGATGTATATCAAGTACCCTGGGGTAGTGTGAATGTCATTTATTAGCTTGATTGGACGCCCATGGTCGAGTAATGCTAATTTGTGTGTGTGTGTGTGTGTGTGTGTGTGTGTGTGTGTGTGCGTGCGTGNTGTGTGTGTGTGTGTGTGTGTGTGTGTGTGTGTGTGTGTGTGTGTGTGTGTGTGTGTGTGTGTGTGTGTGTGTGTGTGTGTTATTTGTTTTATTTTATCCACAATTGACGATGCCCTTAGGTACAGAGAGGCTTATATGATAAATAAAAGAAAGCGATGTTTACCATTATATAAAATCAATGATTGGAGAAACACAAAAAGAAATTAGGGATGTTTAAGGGGGGAAAAAGTATCACACAACATATACATACAAACAAATATTCCATTATATTCAAATGATTTGTTAGTTTTTTTTAGTTACAATTTTATCTCAATTTAAAAAAATTATTTTTAGAATGGTCAAAATTATACCCTAACTTATCTTTTCTCAGTTATCTCCATTGATAGCTGGACATTTTCAGAGTTTACATTTTACAGATGAAACATATAAATGTAAGCTTCAAAATAGGTACGTAATCATAGAAAAATTGTCTAAAACTAAATATAAAATGCAATGGCAATGTACATAGTTATAAATATACATAGTTACATAAAGAGGTCTCTCCCTCTTTCTCTCTCGCTCTCCTTCATACAAAAAATAACTTGTACATGCAGGATATAAAAATTTGGTAATTTACTTTAAAAGCTATAAACGGTTAATCTTTGTTTAAACCGAAAATACCACAAATATGAACAAAATAAACTCATCTGTTGGGTTTAAAAAGCAAATAATTCTATCGGAAAGATAAGTCAGTACTGTTTGAGCATTGTAAGGGTGTAAACTAGTGTGAAAGCCCATTCTGTTTTCAACTAATATTTCTTTATTCTGTAATTCCGACAGTGGGTTAAATTCAGAAGAGACAGAGTCGAGCTACTCATCGGACGATGACTCGTTTGAAGAATTGCTGAAGTATTACGACAAGCACAGTACAACTCCCCCTCGTACACGGATACTGAGACGAGTCATAAGCAAAGAAAAACAAAATCTAACACATAAATACAGGCACCACAAAACAGATTTTTAGTATGTATACAAATATTTTCCCTTGAGTTTTTAAAATAATTCTTTTCAAATCATTTTTTAATTTATTTTTATTGTAGAGCATTTTCCATTTTTAATATTATTCAGTATTTCGTTTAAATGAAATTCTTTCTTAAATATTTCATGTTTAATTATAATTGTGCTGGCTCTTAATAGTGAAATTATATTTTTTGTTAAATTTTAGTCATGGTCATGAAAAGTTAATGCATAAAGTTACCCACGGAGGCCGCAAATACATCCATGCACAAGTAAACTCTATTGGGCCATGGGAAATTAATTTACAAGATGGTAGGTACTGTTTAAAGATTATTGTAATCCAATGTTTACATCAATTTAAAATGCTTGTTTTACTTTGTTCTTTAAAACTTTTTTCAGGGAGAGGTGATCCAAAGAGAAGAACGAATAAAAGAGAAATGCAGCGACTCAGAGGCTCAGAACGAGATTTAAAGTTGGACATCGAAGGAGAAATTTCAAAAGCCAAATATCCAAATAATGAACATTTTTCAATGATGAAAGTAAGAATTAACAATATAGAACAATAATTATTTTGTGTTTGATCCTGATGAACCTTTTCACTGAAACGACCACTTTCAGGTCGAATCCTCGAACAGATTCCTCAGTTTGAGTTGCAAACTTGTAAAAACGGCCATCCAGTGGCGCGCCACCCTTCCTGAGGCAGGAAGAAATAGAAATGATTTCCATGAAAACTTTTCAAATTTGGTCAAATCTGGAAACAGCGACAGGGAGAAAAGTTGCAAAAGAACTGTGAGTTTCTTCAATTTATTGTATATTCTTTTCTTGGTTATTTTTTAATCTTTATGTTATTTACCTACAGTTTATTTTATCTCAGAATGTTGTTTGATGCCAGTGTTATTTATTTTCCTAAGCTTTGGCATATAACATAATTTATATCATATAAATCGTACAAGATAATCATTGTTGGCTATAACTTTTCTTTTAATTATTGATTTACATATATAAGTATATATTTTTTAATGCCACAAAAAATTTTGTCTATAATATCTAATCTTTATTATGTTTGGGACAAATGTTTTCCTATTCTTGGAGCTATAATTATATAAGAGAGTTAGTCACTGTTAATGTAAATAAGTTGTGCAATATGAACCACATCTCCCTAAGTTAATTAAATTATGAATAAAAACAGGAAGGTATGAAAAATTGGCAAAACAATCTGTACAAAAATGGCTTATGGCAAACCACAGTGAGGCTTGTTTGTCTAAAACATTTTTATCCTTGTGTTTATGACAAACATTAAATGTGCTGAATTTTACTCTTAATTTGTTAATTCCTGAGTTGATTTTGACGGGGCGAGTTTATTTCAGGATAATTAGAGAAAATGCGACTGGTTGTTGACTGCAGATCCCAGGAATCATCTTTTATCACAGAACTTGCCAATTGTATGCAATTGCTGTATTGTGTTGCATCGCTTTGAAGACCCACCCATCTCAAGAGGTGAAGTTCAAATAAAAATATCACTAACACAATATTCTAATGTACACTTGTACTGTCTAAAATATTGTGAAACGCGGATTTAAGTTAGCCGATCCAGAATTTTGGAATCCAGGTCTTATTTTTAACAGAATTTCAAAAAATTCCATATGGCCTCATATATAGTATATTAGACATTGTTACAGCTTGATGTTGGATTGATTTGAGTCCCACTCAAGATATAAATTTCCCGCATTCAGATTGGAAGGTCTTCAACTCAGTCGTCAACTTGACAACTACAGATGCCTGAGCTGCGGGTGAGATATTTTAGTCATTTCATCTCAACATCAGAAACATGATGAGCAGTTAAATCAACTTTCATGCATTTTCTGTGGCATACTCAGAGCAGGCGGTTGTCTTGCTCAGGCTCTGAGTTATAAATAATTGAATTTTGAATTGAACATTTATAAAAGCTCACAAAATTAGGATCTCATGGACCTTTCTAACATTTAACGAGCAATTGTTACTGAGCACGATGTATAAATAAAGTTTACATAATTCAAAATAAAAAATATGTATAGTACAAATATATACAGGGTGTCATTTTTTGACGCACCATTGGAAAATCAACTTGGGTGCGTTTAAATCTGACTCAAGGCCTATTTCCTTTGATTAATACGTTAATAAAAGAAAGTGAGTCAATTTTCGGTGCACCATTGGAAAATCAACGTGGGTGCGTTTAAATCTGACTCAAGGCCTATTTCCTTTGATTAATACGTTAATAAAAGAAAGTGAGTCAATTTTCGGTGCACCATAGGAAAATCAACGTTGGTCCGTCTAATTATGACTCGGCACATTTTATTTTGTTAGTCTCGTATCAAAAAATAGGCGAGTCACTTTTTGATGCACCATTCGTTACAAATTAGTTTTAGTAGGTTGGAAGGAAAATAAACAAAATCAATTATTCAAACACAATGTAAAAAGGTTTAAGAGTATTTTTTTCTGGTAAAGTAAAAAAAATAAATAAATGTAACAATCTCCTTTTTTCTGGTAAAGTAAAAAAATTAAATAAATGTAACAATCTCCTTTTTTCTGGTAAAGTAAAAAAATTAAATAAGTGTAACAATCTCCTTTGTTAGCAAACCAAAAATGTTCAAAATCATTATAATAATTGTTCGAACAGACCTCCATTTGCTGCAACGCAGTAGCCTAGTCTATCGTAAAACAATTATCGGAAGAAAAAAATACTCTATTCTAGTGAATTTTTTTTTTAAATTTTTACATTGTGTTATCACACATCAAACACACATAAATCAAGGGAAATAGGCCTTGAGTCAGATTTAAACGGACCCACGTTGATTTTCCAATGGTGCGTCAAAAAATGACTCACCCTGTATATTTTTTTTACTGTCTACATATATTTTTAAATATTATTGATGTTCTACAGAGTATGATTGAACATAATCTAATGAAAGAAAAGCTTTTAGATGTTTCTTATAAATACATTTAGATTTACATGATTTTATAACATTGGGTAAATTTTTATAGATTTTGAAAAGAATGACTTATAAAAGCAGTATGTACAATACAATGACATTTTCATAAATTCTAGAATCTTAGTATAGATCGCAGATATAGCAAATACACATATTTTTTAGTAACATATAACTTATGAAGATTTTTTACAAGAAAGATTAGAAATTACTGCAAGGCCTTAAGTTATATTAGGAAGCATTAGTGCATTAAAAAGCTTTATTAATGACTTATTAATATTAAATAGTTTTTTAATTTATATAGAATGGAATGTATTCTACTACAAGCTTTATCAATACGTGTATTCCACATTAACCACCCTTCTGTGGCATAGGAATCCACACTATTAACAAATATCTCAGACAGAAGGACAAAAAGAAAATGAAGGAACAATGGAATTCACTCATTGAACATAGACAATCCAAGAACTCCTAACGAATTTTAGAAGGAAAGAACTGCAGAATGAACCAGAGGAAGCAGAAATAAACTGCGAACAGGATTCTTAATAGGACACTGCAAGCTAAATGAACGCTTAAAGAAGATTGGAACAATCCAAGATGGCACATGTAGATTCTGCAAGGAGGCAGAAGAGACACCAACACATTTACTAACAAACTGCGGAGCTACATTAGCCCGCAGGAGGAAATGTTTTGGGATGTATAATGTGACTATAGAAGAGCTTCAACCATTAAAACCGGGCCTATTCAAATTTCTTGATGAAATAGAACACACCGATGTGCTTTAGGCAGAGAAGGGGGGATTCAGTAGCTCTTAAAGGGCGCAGTATACTATACCCTGAAAAATTACAACTATATCTACATTCCACATTAAATATTTAGAATCTAGAATTTTTATTTTGTTGTTTAAAATTAATATACTTCATCAATTTTGATTTCTACAATATTATCTTTCTTTACATTTGCAAATTGCTTGTGATGTTCTAATAAAATAGCTTTACATTTTTTAACATTAATTGATAAACCATGATCATCGCTTCATTTTTTAAAAGATTTTATGTTGCTGTTTAGTTTTAATACGCTTTCATTTATGTTTGATCATTTTGATTTTGTATAAATATTTAGGTCATACAAAAGAGAATTAGTAATTTTGTAATATATTCTATTTACATGTAGGATAAACAATAAAGCCGATAGCGTAGACCCTTGAGGGACAGCGTGATTGGTAAACATCCCATTAGAATAATTGTTTTTTGATGTTTTTACACATTGCCCATTGGAAGATTTAAATACCAAAACTACACGATATATAAATTGATCTCAGCACTGAAATGAGTAGATCATGATCAACATTGTCAATGGAAACTAAAATAGTAATTTGTCATCATCAATACCAGTTTTTATGTCATTTAACAATTTTATTAAAAAATTTTCATACTGTTCATCCGGTATCTAGCTTGAAATGTGTAAATAATATTACTTTCAATAAATTGATAGATTTGATTAAATACTAGTTTATCCAATATTTTACTAAGGCAAGATGAAATATTCTGAAAATCGCAACAACCAGTAGGATATTGTGTTTTAGGTAGATGGACTGTACAGGACATTTTCCTGCCATAGGGATGTATACCATTGTAGATAGATGTGTTTAAGATATCAGCTAATGTATGACTATTTTTATTTATTATCAATTTGATAAGAATGTTAGAGCTTTTATACGGTCCTTTATGAATTTATGGTATTTACTGTTTTAATAATTTCTACTTCAGTTAATTTTTTAAAACTGAATTTTTCTAGCTGTCAATAATTGATTGCAAATCACAAAAACTGGAATTGCCGGTGGATTGCGAGAAGTGATAGGCTCAATAATATAATAATATTTATAAGCTTATAAATCAGAAATCAGTAAATCTGACAGCTCGCATAATTACTTTTAAAGATAAAGCCACATTTTTATTTATTAATATAATTATGATATTTGTATTATTTCATCAGATAAGCCGAGAAGAACATTTGTGGCAGACTGAGCTGAAAGACATGATCTGGCTTGAACTTCAGGCTTGGCGGGCTGACAAAACTCCGACACAGCAGGATAAATATTTATGCGAAGCGCGACAGTCAATACCTAAGCTTTTAGTAGACATTATAGATTACAAGTAAATATTTTTATTTTTAAATCTGAACTATTGAAAGTATGATTATTATTCATCACTATACACCTATTGGTACTATTTTATTTTCTTCATGTTCAATGTTTCTTTGTAATAATTATACAAAAAAAATCATATATTCATGATTGTTTGGTGCAATTTTAATTTTTCATCCTTGTTGAAGATTTACGAAAAAAACTTCGCCCTCTTGTGCCACAGTTAGTGTTGACAGCGGAATCCAGACAGATTCAGAGAATCCTTGTGAAGGTATTTTCTTCTCAACTAGTGTACATTTTTTAAATAATTGATGACAATTTTTTTAAGGGTGTTTTTGGCTCTTTTGCCCAACTTGCATCCAACTTGAAAACTGTGCTTTGAGAGAAGTTGAAGTTCTTCTTGACAGGCTTGAACATGCAGAGGCTCTTTATCCATCCAGTATGGCTTTCGGAAATCAATACCCTATGTACAAAAGTGGGGAATTCATTGGTAGAGTCAAGGTATACTAGAATAAATAAATATAAGTTAAAAAAGAATGGAATTTAAAAAAAAAATGTTTTAAGGCTATGTGCTTATGGTACAACATAATGAGGCACCACAGGCTTAAACTGATAATTTTAGGAAAACAGCTTCTTTCTTATGCTAAAGGTTACAGTACAGAAGAAAGCGTTATGAACAGGTAATTTTTTTTTCTTCCAACAAATACAAATTGTATGATTATTAGTTTACAAATTATAATTAAAGCGAATCGCCTGATGTGGAATTCTGCTCAAAATGGGATTTTTTCAATCAGACTCAACCGCTTCAGTCTCTCAGCAAATATTTCCACCATATTAACAGCAGTGACACACGAACATACAGGTCTGTTAATTAATCATAATTAATGTAAATTTTTTAACTTTTAATTTGCTTTTGCAGGAGATTCATCGTGGATGTCTTGAAACTGAAAGGTCTCAGGAAAGCTTTACAATTCCTAGAACATTTGTACTCAAAGGTCCTTAGAAAAGGGAGAATAGCGATGGAGAAACCACCCTCTGAAGAAAAGGTGATAAAAAAAATATATATATATTTTTTAGTTTATGTTAGAAAACATTTCCATGTGGATTTTTTTAAATAAAAATGTAAATACATTACTTATTTATAAATACAACATGACACACACATATAATTCATATATTTATTTTTTATTGAGAAAAAAACCATATGGAAATGTTTTCAAACATAAACCCAAAAATTAAATTAAGACAAATTAGTCTTAAAAATTCCGTTAAACAATTTTAAAAACTTTACTGCTAATTTATTTTCAGCACTTTAACTGAAAATTGAGAATAGGAGATTTTTGAAACAATTCAAAACTACAACCTCAGATGCAAAAATTTTTATTTTGTAGAAGTGATCATATCTTCTATACATTGTTTTAATTTATATGATTAAATTATTCATGGTTAGTGAAGAATTTTAGATTAATTTGTCATTTTTGCAAATTTCTCATCCTTTAAGTTATAACTGTTTTTGAATTAAAAAAAAAAAATAAAAATAAATGATTATCTTGACCATGAAAACAGATTATGTATTAAATGTATATGGTTTAATTAATATTTCCATTGTACTGCTTTTATAGGTGTGTTAGTATTTTTTTGCACATTGATGATTTATGCCCTGTAATTTTTACAGCTTCTTTGTTTTCCAAGAATTTATTAAACGTAAGTCAATGTGTATGTATGTAGAGGTTAATCCCCCATAATAAAACCATTGTGAAGATTGAATCTATATTAAATTTATTTAATTGTTTGTAAATATTTATTCTAACATGTTTTAAACTATTTCTGCTTGACATGCATGTTGTTAATGCTAAAGGTGCATAATATTTTTTATGTAACACATTTAGGACAAAACTGCCATCTTTTTGCTCTATTATAATTTTTTTTTAAATTAAACACCAAAATTAAGCAATAATTTTGGTATTATTGTTTTTCTTTTGTAATTCTTTAGGAAAAAGATTTTCCAAACGACTATGGTGATGAGTATGAACTCAGACGCTATGGATATTGGAGCAAAGAGTTCCAATCTTTAAACCTACCATCATTTAGGCCTGCGTTTCTTTTTATATCTCGTATACCGCTTGACGTTATTCATGAATTTTTAAGATTGAGGTTAGAAACCAATTTAGAAAAGCCTTCATCGTTGAGTATAAGACAAGTAAGTAATAATATACGGGAGAAAACATTCAGTAATAATTTTAACTTTTATTACAGTTGATAAAAGAATTGAAAGAAGGATTGAAATTGGCAGTTTTAAACAAACAAAGGTATTTACAACACTGCAACGTTGCACTGCAAGAAGAAGACATCGAAGTTCAAAACAAATTTAAAGATTACATATCTTCGTTTGATGAAAGTGTTCTGTCAGTATTGAAAGTGAGTTCTTTTTAATTGTAAAATATAATACAAATTTAATACAATTAATGATTTTTTTTTTTCGAAATGTTTGTAGCTGTATCTTAAATACATGGAGCAGTGGGTTGAACTGACACAACATGAAAGGAGCCAGAAAAATATATTAGAAGAAGAATGGAAATTCATTGTCTGCACTGTACCTCATGTTCCTGGTGGACAATCGATAGCTGGCAATGTTTTTTGGTATGGCTCAATTTGAAAGTGTAATTAATAATCATGGTCTAATTAAAACTATATTTTCAGCAACATAGCCAGTACATTGTTAAAAAGTATAGCTTCTTGCATGCAAGAGTCAATAACAAAATTAAATATGCATTTTAATGAAGACGACAATGAAAAATGTGTTAAGTAATAGACCTTTTTTTTGTTTTTTAACAATTTTGTTATTTATTATTTGTGGTTTGAACATTTCAGCACACAATCAAGGCAATCAGTGCTTCATGTAAGCAGAAAAATTCAATCTCTATGTGTTGATACGCGAGAGAGGATTTTCAGGGTGCTTTGCCTTGCGAAAACACTTGCAAAACATTTGGAGTTTGAAAATTCCAACAATTGTGATCAAATAGAACAAACTTTGCAGAGTCTGAAAGTATTGAGTTAATAAATCCGTACCAAACAAAATTATTAAAAAATTTAAAATATATATACCTTTTCGAAACTTATTTTTTAGGTAAGTGTGCTTGATGTGTGTATAATATTAAAGGAAACAGTATTACTCGTCCAAGAAAAAATGTTGAAATCTTATCTGGCAGATGCTGAGAATTCTGTCTTGCTATCACGTTGCCGTGAAGTGTTGCATACACTGTACAAATTCACTTTTGAGGTAATTTGCTATATATATATTTAACACTCGCACTGCCATTAGTAAAAAAAACAAAAAAAAAAACGGACAGCTGTGGCTAGTCTTTTTAGACCCAATATTTTTTTAACTGAAAAACCAATAATGTTTTTATTTTTTTAATGTTTATTTATTTGGTGTGTACATATACTTATAAATAAAAATTTTCAAGGGAACCACAGTAGCCATCCAATTCATATTTGCCATGCTAACCGTCCTGGGTTCAGATCACGGCATAATCCCTGCTTTTTTTAATTGAAAATAATTTGAAATTGTAAAGTGGTTTGACCCTTAATCTGCAATACTCAACTGATAATAAATAAAAAATTTTCATGTCTATGTTTAAATGTTATTTACACTACGTACTTTTAAATTTTATAACAAATTTTAGGTGAAGGTATGATAAAATTTTATTATCATTATTTTGTTTTACATTATTACCCAATTCTTACATTATGAAATCCTACATAATTTATACATTCCTGTTTTTTGGTCACCACTGAATGTTTAATACATATGAATATAGTTTGCATTTATCACATATTGTAAAATATTTATAGCCGTTGCCAGGGCAAAGAGATTTGTTCTTCCTGCCTCCGAATCTTTTTCAAAATACCATCTGCGCAAATAAGAATTATACATTTTGCTAAATTTCACACAGAATTCAGAAGCTGAATACAAACTGAAAAGTGAGAACTTTGGGGTAAAGGGAAATGCCAGGACATTGATGTGAATTGTTGGGTTAAGCCTTTTTCCTACCTGAGTGAATAAAGTAACCTATTTTTAATTGTTTTATTATTTTTATGCAAAGTGTAGCCAAGATAAAAAATTAGTATCATGAGCGGGACTCGAACCCACAACATCTGGGTAAGTACCACAGTGGTCTACCACTTGAGCTATCATGCCTTCGGCCCTCAAAATATCAATTTTTATCTCAGCCACACTTTGCATAAAAATAATAAAACAACTAAAAATAATAACTTTGATTAAGAGGACCAACTAAAACATATATTTTAATGTAATTACTCAAGGACCTGCATTTCATAAATAGTTTGCCATGGCTAATTCGTATGTTGCTGAGAATCATATGATGAAAAGGGGGAAAATCTAAAAAGTTGTAGATTAAAATGTAAAGTTGAGTCTCGAGGGCTGAAGTCACAATAGGTTAAGGCGTAGGTCACCAGGGTACTGATCTGGATGCCATGTGTTTGGGAACTGCTCTTGACTCTAAATTTTTCATCCCAGCCACATAAAAAAATTATGACGTATCTGATACTGACCGTGATCGACATCTTTTTGTAACATCAGCACTAACAATTATATTTTTATTCTGATTTTTCAAAAAAAAAAAAAAAAAAAATTACTTTATGTTCAGGAAAGACCTAACAGGGGAATACATTGGAGAGTAGATTTAAAAAAAAAAACAATAAAATTACAGAAAAAATAACATTCTCAGGCGGTGTGAGTGTTAAAAACAGACTCATTGTTTTTAAGTCAGTTTTTCTCAATTTTAAAAGTAATTTTCTTTTTTAGTATTGCAAGGAAGCAGGAAAGTTTTCAACGGATAAGAGTTTGCATGTTAAAGATCTGATATTATTTGCTCAGGAGTGGATCAAATTCATAATGCAATATTACGAAAGGGGCAGAGGAGTTAGGCCAAGGTGGGCCAACTACGGCTTGGAATTTTTAGTCTGTATCGCAGATCCAAAGTACACCAATTATTTAAGCGACAAAGATTTTGAGGTTGGTTTATTAAATATTTTTTAGTTTCGTGTTGATAAACAAAACAGTAAAAATTTATGTTTAAGTCATTCAGAAAGAATATTGAGTGTTGTTTGTCACATATCATGGGTACGGCAAATAACTGTGTTTCGCCAACATCCTATATCTCACGACCGACCTCTCCACCTCCATCAATTCATTGTAAACAGACTCATTTAAACGTTGGAGATAGTCCAGTGGTGTAAGTTTATTACAGTTATAAAAGTTCTATCCCTTAAAATAATTTATCTTCTACAGGCCAGATGGTGAAGTCAATCGCACTCACCGTGCTTCTGATTCACCACCGTTATTCAGTCGAAGTAAGTTGAAATTGGCCATTTAAATAAAATCATATTAATTTAATAATGTTATTTCCAGATTTATGTAAGGCTGAAAGAATAAATGCAGCAATTAAAAAGCTCGATGACAAACTTGACGAAAAGCTGAGAAAGGCTGCACTTATTGGGAATGTCATAGTAACCGCCATTACAATACATGATAAGTACCAAATACGGCCAAGAGTTGTCAACTTCCCTTGGCAGAGGGGTACTAAAATTGGTAAGAAACCCATTATTTTACTACATATTAAAATATAGTAAATAAAGTGTTTTTTTGTATTTTTTAAATATTTTTTAAGGTCAAGGAAGGTTTGGAAAAGTCTACACAGCTGTAAATTGCGATACAGGAGAATTGATGGCCATGAAAGAAATTTCACTTCAGCCTAATGATATTAGGACAATAAAAAAGGTCGCCCTTGAATTCAGCATCTTCGAGGGTATAAATCATGAACACCTCGTCCGTTATTATGGAGCTGAAGTCCACAGAGTACAATTTAGAGTAAGGTTTTTATGTATGAACTTTTATAAAATTTTCATTTCATTGCAGGAAGAACTTTTAATTTTTATGCAACTTTGTACTGAAGGGACATTAGAGTCCTTAATCGCTGCAACTGAAAATGGATTACCTGAAGGTTTAATCCGTCGTTATACAGGCCAGCTTGTCAGTGCCATATCGACTTTACATAAACATACTATTGTCCACCGTGATATAAAACGTAAATATATAAAATTTTAATTAAATTATTTTGCCTAAATATCATTATTTTGTGCCCCTAGCTGCAAATGTATTTCTCACTGCCGAAGGCAACTGCTTAAAACTTGGAGATTTTGGCTCAGCAGTTAAAATAAAAGCTCACACTACGGCACCTGGTGAATTAAGAGGATTTGTCGGAACACAAGGTAATACACAATACATTTTTCATAAAAAAACTAATTAAATAATGATTATTTAAATGCAGCATACATGGCACCAGAAGTTTTTATGAAATCAAATACAAGTGGTCATGGCAGGGCTGTCGATATTTGGTCTCTTGGATGTGTCATAATTGAAATGGCATGCGGAAAGGTAATAAATTTAAAAAAAATTGCCCTGGGTATTTAATAATGATGAAAAACAATTCAACAGAGGCCTTGGTCCGAATTTGATTCGACATATCAAATAATGTTCAAAGTTGGAATGGGTGAGACACCCGAAATACCGGCCTCCTTGAGCGATGAAGGCCATAACTTTGTTTCAATGTGCATTCAGCAAAATCCAAAACTTAGAGCAACTACTGTTCAACTGCAGCAACATACATTTTTAAAGGTACAATAAACAAGTCCTTAAGTTTATTTATTTAACAACTGCATTGTATTTAAGGTCGATTGTGATGAAGAATGCTGCATACCTTTCAGTGCACCGTCACTACTGGAAAACTATCTCAAACTTGGAATTAAAAGATAAATGTGAATAAAATTAGCTTTTTGTATATGATATAAATTATTATTAACCGAATCATGTGAATAATGTGACTCTATCAATTGTTTTGTTAGTCATACTGTGGTATTTTAAAATTGATTTTATATTCATTTGATGGATTTTGTGTTTAAATACAAATAATCGTATTATTAAATTTTGTCTTGTTTTCCTGATCTTTCATTTGATATTCACTTCTTAATAATTAAACATTATGAGGGATCTGCATGGTGACGAACCTGTAGCTGGGCTGTTTTAGTGTTGAAGATGCAGGCCAAAATGATCAGAAGACAACTAAACATCTACAAAAACTAAAAAGTGAAATGTTTAAGAAAGTCAAAACAGGATTTGTGTTGATATTGTGGATCAGCAGAATCTAAAAATAGGGATTTCCAGTTTTCTTTTCATTTGATTGGTAATTGAATAGAGTTGTGCAGGTGATTTATTGAACTATTCTGACCAATTTTTTATTCCTATCTATGCATTTTGGGATTCAGGCGCTAGCCCTCATCTTTTTGGAGTTCAAATCTTTCTCCTTATCGAACTATTCCAACCAGTGGATTTTTTTTAAATTTCTGGCTATGTGTATGGGGGCTACCAGCTCCTCATGAGACATTTTTGGTGTTCAAACCTTACACTTTATTGTACTATCCTGTGACAGCTCTTTGATGAGACATTTTTGAAGTTCAAACCTTTTTCCTTATCAAAATATTCCAACCAATGGATTTTTTTATTTCTGGCTATGTATATGGGGGCTACCAGTTCCTCATGAGACATTTTTGGTGTTCAAACCTTACACTTTATTGAACTATCCTGTGACAGCCCTCTGATGAGACTTTTTGGTGTTCAAACGTTACTCCTTATTGAAGTATTCTGGGGCAGCTCTCTTTTGAGACATTTTGCAGCTTACTTCTTATAGAACTATTTAGATCTATTCGGTGACAGTCCTCTCATGAGACATTTTTGGAGTTAATTCCTTACTCCTTATTGAACTATTCGGTGACAGCCCTCTGATGAGACTTTTTGGTGTTCAAACCTTACACTTTATTGAACTATCCTGTGACAGCCCTCTGATGAGACTTTTTGGGGTTCAAACCTTACTCCTTATTGAACTATTCGGTGACAGCCCTCTGATGACTTTTTGGTGTTCAAACCTTACACCTTATTGAACTATCCTGTGACTGCTCTCTGATAAGACTTTTTGGTGTTCAAATCTTGCTCCTTATTGAACTATTCGGTGACAGCCCTCTGATGATACATTTTTGGAGTTCAAACCTTACTCCTTATTGAATATTCTGGGGCAGCTCTCTTTTGAGACATTTTGCAGCTTACTTCTTATAAATCTATAACTGTTCGGTGACTGTCCTCTCATGAAACATTTTTGGAGTTCATTTCTTACTCCTTATTGAACTATTTGCTGACAGCTCTCATAAAATATTTTTGGAGTTCAAACCTTATTCCATATTGAACTGTAACAATCAATTGATTTTTTATTTTTGGCATTTCGGAGGACAGCTGTCAGCCCCTTCATCAGGCCTTTTTGGAGTTCATACCTTACTGCTTCCTTAATATTCCTTATTTGGTGATAGGCCTCTCATCAGACACATTTTCATAGTTCAAACATTACTTTCTTTAAACTATTATTCTGTCCAATTGATTTTTTATTGAGCTCAACTGCCAACACTGAAATTCATGGCAAAAAATAAAAAAAGATCAATTGGCTGGAATAGTTCAATAAATCACCTGCATAATTATAAAAATACGAATTTACCAAGAAAATAATTTTTTAAGGATTATAAAAAGGTCGGTGTAGCAATTGGACCACATTCAAAATTTTTGACGGCAGGAGATAATACATAACCAGCTGGGTGGATTGGGCGTAAGCATCACAACTTGTCATAGACTATAAAGAAATTCCCAAAATTGTCTGTAAAATTTTGTTTCTGATGACTCATCTGCGACACCTGGACATACTTGGAATATCTTGTGGGAGTGAGAAATAAAATGCATATAATCAAAATAAAGAAACAAGAGTTTTTATTGAATTACAAACTAGCAACAATAGAAGGAGGATATTAATGTAAGCTAGCTTGGAAGTGAATCTTAAGAATAAGAGTCATAGACATTTAGATATTGTACTTTTCCTTTGCTAATTATGTTATTTTTTAAAATAAGACAGTTATTGTCTTACAAAAGTGCCCCTAAATGCTTGATAGGAATTAAGATACACAGACAGTTTTGTGTGCACTCCAGTGCTGTACCTGACATTTTCTAGAGCAGTACCAAACCTTTTTACACTTGGAACACCTTTTAAACGCCCTGTTGAAACAAAAGATACAGCTTTGCAAATTATCATTGATTTCTTCTATGGTGTCTAGTGATGCAGCAAAAGATTTGGCGATGGCCTGCTTGTCATTTGGAGATCCATAGAAAAGTAGTTTTGACCTTTTTGATGCTATTTGATCCCATTGATCTTCGTATTTTAAAGAAAGCTCATCCTTGTAACTCGTTGTAACTTCGACTATTAAAGGATTATGGACATTCTCCCCTTTGCTCGGTGAGATTAAAAGTGTGTTAAGCCAATTTTTAAGGTCTTCCAGTGGACTCAGTTGGTCTATTACTCTATCATGAAGGAGTTTTATGAGTTTGGACAATTGTTCTTTTCTGAATGTGCTGTAATAGTAAACAGTGTCACATGTTGGGTTTATAAGAAGCTGCCTTAAAAGCAACCAAACTTGGCACTCGGTTTTACTAAGCACAGGATCCTCAGAAAGCCATTCTTTCCATTCATTGTCATTATGCTTGTAAAATTTCCCATCGACATGGTTTGACCATGTGTTCATGTCGAGAAGATGTGTGATTAAAATAGGAACATCGTGTGTTGTGTAGATACGCGACGCTGCACTGAGTGGTAGCTTGTCAAAATTTTCACAGATGTATCTTACAACAGAAATGCACTGGGAACCTATATTGAAGTCAATTAAGTCCTTTTGCTCTTTCAGTTCTTCGATTGCGTCCATTTTTCTCATTCGTATATCATCAGTAGTTAAATTTTTACTTTTGACGCAGAGTAATTTTGATATTTTTGAAACAGCATAATCTATGAGATCATCACTGGAATCGCTGATGTAGTTAAATGCTTCTGAATGGAAAAGTAGACTCTGGAGTATTCCTAAAATAATTACTTCACCATAAAGCACGATGTAAGTCGGAAAAGGGCTTTCTGGTTGCGGTGTCAATGTCACCAAAGCAGGAAAAACTTTCTCCTTCCATAAGCTCAAAGTTACCACATCTTTGATCAATGGTTCCACTTTGTTATACAAAGTGAATGCTTTAAAAACCCTCTCAGTACCAGAGGACGATGACGCTTCAATGCTTGCAACTTGATAAATTTTAAAAATCTCTTGCGATCTTTTGAACCAGTGTTTTTTCCCAATATCTTCCAATTTGATAGTTTCAAATTTTTCCACGATTAGCTCCAATTCTGCAGTTGTAAGGAGTGATTCAGACATTATGGCTGGATAAATGACTAAACTTGTACTATTAAATCAAAACAACTGTCGTTCCTATGGAGATCAAGCACCATATCTTAATTGACAAAGCTGACAAATCACCTGAACCAAAAATCACATGCATTGTTTACTACTAACATGAAAATGCCAATTTTCCTTTAAATCTATTTAAACAGATATTGCAAAAATAATTCAGAATTAGGGACAATTTGATTTGTTTATACTTTAGGAATTTTTATTAAGATTAATAAATGGCCGTTGGGATAAAATGTAAGAAAAAAAAACATTGTTCATAAAAAGTATCATAGAAGCATTACAAAGAAATTAAGTTCTTCTTAAAGTAAGATTTTTGCCCTTTATTGAGTTATACATGGATTTTTCCAATATTTTTACCTAATGCATAATATGATTCAAATCTACAAGTAAATTTTCTTATGATCATAATTTCCCAAACATTGTTTTTATAAATTCCTTGGAGCTCATACATTTACATTTGTATAAATCCATAAAATGTCAACACATCAAAATAGTAAATGGAATAAGCTTCTGGCATCATCAGTAGGGACCTAAAACCGTAAAAATCAATTTAAAAAAAAACTGCCATGAAAGTAAAGCCACAACTTCTCTTTTAGTAAGCTCAGTTTATCTTTTAACATTTTTGCATATAATATCCAAAAAGGCTGACATCCTAGCTGAGTGAAAAAGTTCACTCTAAGGATGAAAACCTAGTTTATCATGAATTCCTTTTCCAAAACTTTGTCAAGGATTGTAGTAACAAATATTTTCTTCTAAGTCAGTGTCTTTATTCTGAATGTGAAGTAGCTTCTCCTAAAGAAATTTTTAAAAAAAATTTAAAAATCTAAAAATAAAAACTGGTGACAATTACCTTAATTCATTATTCATAAATCACATGTTATTACTTGTCCGGTTTTCTTCTTCTTGAGAAATAGGTAAAGTTGTTCTGATTTCAAAGGCTAAGTTAAATTATTTATAAAGAAAACTCCTCCTTATCCTTTAAAAAGCTCCTGTGAAAGTAATTCTGAGAAGAATATGAACGTTTTTAAATGTAAATAACATTAGAATGCTGTAAACATAAGTATGGTTTTAGATTTACGCTTTCAACTATCATACAGCTGGCCAGAGTCACAGATAGGATTTTTCATAATTTTATATGAACAAATATTCGGGACTAGTAAAAAAAGTACCATAAGGGTCAGGGGTAAGGGTGAAGAAGAGTGAGCAGGACTGAGTTCGGTTGATGGGGATGTGGAAATTTATTAGTTGAAGTAACTCAGAATAGTGCCTCAATTGTAGTACATCGAGATTCAAGTGAAATTAAGCTTAGATGCTGCACCAGGATCAATGGGAACATCATAATAGGATAAGCCCATTTTGTTGCAGCCTGTCCACCCAAGGAATTGTGCTGAATTTGTTCTAGTAATATACATGATTTCTCACAAGTTCTGAGGTCAAATAAGCCTTGAAAAGGCAGGGGAAAAGGGGTCTCGAAATATTGACAATAAAAAGTGAAACAAAGGGGTTGTGAAGTTCAATAAATACCACGTCACATGAATTCAACAACAGCCAAAATAAAAGGAGGAAGAGTTTCTTCTTACAAATACAATGTATTTGTAACAATAACAATTTATCAACAATTGAACAATTTATCAAATTCATGAATACCATATATTATTGTAGGAATACTGTATACTATATTCAAATAATTCAACATTTTAATATTCATGTACTTTGTTCATAATTAGCTTCAAATAAAATTCTCTCTCTCTCTCTCTCTCTCTCTCTCTCCCTCTCTATCTCTCTTTCTCTCTCTCTCTCTCTCTCTCTCTCTCTCTCTCTCTCTCTCTCTCTCTCTCTCTCTGTGTGTGTGTGTGTGTGTGTGTGTGTGTGTGTGTGTGTGTGCATGCACGAGAGACTNGTGTGTGTGTGTGTGTGTGTGTGTGTGTGTGTGTGTGCATGCACGAAGTAGATAGAGAGGGAGAGAGAGAGAGAGAGAGAGAGAGAGAGAGAGAAAGAGAGATAGAGAGGGAGAGAGAGAGAGAGAGAAGAGAAAATAGTATGTAAAAAGAGATAGAGGAGAAGAGAAATTGATGGTCAATTTGCCATTTTCCATGGTTGGTTTTTGTGTATCTGGTTCCAGTATAAATCTTTTTTTAATATTTCTAGAAAAACACTACTTTATTATCAAATCTTCTTTAGAATGAAATAAGCCATAGTTTAAATGCTATTCTTAAGTAAATTGTGAACTTGACATAATAACAAATTACTGGATGATAAGTTTAAAAATTAACAGTTTTTTGAAAACTAAACTAATAAAATTATATCCGATATATTTTTACCTTGACCCACTCTATTCCACAGATGGAGACAACAAAAAAACACACTTTTTATAAAAAATCTTTATTTTTTAAAACAATATCGATTTCCGGGTGCTAACCGCTCCCTCTCTTAAACTGTTTTGAATACCCAGTTTCATGAAACAGTGATTTATCAATCTTAGAAAATAAAGAAGAAACTGAAGGAATTAATTAAGTGGGAACACAAACTACCCAAAAGAAGGTTAATTTTAAACGAGATATTGATGTCAATCACAGTAAATTTAATAAAACATCCAATTTGATTTAAAGTTAGTGAAAACATACAGATGACAGATCGATATCGTTTTTATTCTTTTTATTAGTTTCTATACAAAATGGGAAAGGAAGAATAGGAAAGTCTTGAGATTTTTTGGACACTTCACCACCAGAAATGCCAAACAAAAGGTTCACATCCTTTAAAAAAAAATTAAATTAAAAAAAACCTGGGCAATATGTCATAAATTAAAATTTTTACATACCTCTCAAAATAATTTAAAATGATTTTAATATAAATTTTCAGATCATGATTCGACGTTCGCTCCTGGAATAATTGTGATACAGTTTTGCCAAACTTGACTGTGTTGCAGGTTTAGTATGTCTGAGCGCCGGTTTCGTAAACGGATAACAAACATCTCTGGCCCGTCTATTCCCGCTTTTTCGAAAAAATTACTTTTCTTCTTACTACTTCTTTCTTTTTACTATGAGAATTTCTTTACAATCAATCAAACACATTAAAATCACAATTTCATAGAACGATCCTCAGAATTGTAACTCCTTCATTTACGTGCCATTATAATCTATTTTAGAGTCCATTTATGAAAAATAAGAAATTTCAAATATTTTTTCTGAGCATTTCATCTTTACAACTTCTCCATCTCTGATGAAGAGCTTGAACCAAGCAGATCATCAGTAGATGACGATCAAGTACTTTACTGCCAGTCTTCATTGGACGAGCAAAAATTGCTACCTAAACAATAAAATTTTATAAACAGCGATTAACAATCAATTTTTAAAAATCCATTAAAATTAAAAGAAGTATACTTATTGAGATTGTGTCTTTACCCAATCACCCTTGTTGATCCTATTTAACTCGATCGATTAAAATATTATTTATTTTAATGATTATGATCAGAGACAGCCGATTTTTTAAATTTAACCATTTCTTTGAAAGCATCAGAAAACAATTGTTCTGGTGTTATTTAAAATTAATTTTTTGTATCATCATGTATATTAGTAGGACAGGGACATGCTTCTAATTTTGGGATAGTGATATGTCAGCCAATACCAGCCAAGAAATTTACATTGTTTTCTATCTGTGACTTTGAAATAACTTTTGTGACAAAATATAACGTATAAATGTTGGACATGGCATGAAAGAATTTAGATCCGTGTGTAGAAAAATTATAAAATTGTTATTACAATTAATTACCTGTTTTTAACTTAACGGACAGTAAAAATCAACCAAGTTTTTCAAGTAAATAAGTTTAACTTTTGTTGTATAGTTGTAAATATAAACCATTGCCAATGTAAACAAAAGAAAAAACCTTATAAATATAATGTATTATTCAATTTACCAAATTCATGAATATCATATATTTCTGTAGGTATACTGTTGGATATTCATTATTTCTGAAAAATTTTCAATACGTACAACTATCTTCAAATTAAAAAAAACAACATGTCAAAATAATTCAACATTTTAATATTTATGGACTTTGTTTGTAATTAGCTTTGTGCAATATTCTGTGACAAAATTGTCAACAAAAAAAATATGTTAAGCTTGGTTTTTGTAAACAAAATCCAAAAAATTGAATCTTTTCTCAATGGGAAAACAAATAGATCGTGATGAACTGGAATAATGCTTATGTGAATTTTTTTAAACGCCATCAATTTTTATTGTAAATTGAAATCTCTTACAGTTTAATTTAACAAAAATTGGAGGGTGGTAGAAAGGAAGTGAGAGGGAGAGAGAGAAGATAGAGAAACTTGACTTACCTTTTTATTTATTTATACTATATGTATATTTTTCTCCTTTCTTATATAATGATCACAGTGTTTTATTGAGTTACATTACAATTACATAAATTTATAAACCTACACATTACACCAGTATAACTAAACCACATCATATTTTTATTAAATATTAAGTTTTACATATATATTTTTCATATAATTACATATGTATTTTTGTACAAAATTTTACATACAATTTACTAAAAAAAATTATTATTTTGTAATTTTAAAGTGTCCCTAAAATTCAATAACACAACAAATAATACAATACAATAATAACAAATAAATAAATAGGTAAATAAATAATTTGTACATTTGCAGTGCATCATATCTGTCATTACTCTCCAACACGTATTTATATATTCAGTAGGAATTTATTTACTAAATAGTCCATAATTTTTCTTCAATGCTGTATACATTATATATTTAAATTTGTATTTGAATTATTAAAATTATCCGATTAATGACATTTGAAAAATGGCAAAAAGGAGGGAAAACTCAAAAGGTGGGGTTGAGATAGGAAGTTGATGTCCGAGTGGATCGAGGTCACGATAGCTCAAGTGGTAGAGCAGCGGCGTATCTAGCCGAAGATCATGGGTTTGAAACCCGCTCGTGCCATTAACATTTTTTCATCTCAACTAAAAACCTTAATTAATTATAATGTATAACAATGATCAATTTTGCTGTTGATCTATTTCTACTTTTTCATTATTTTTACAATGATTTATGTATGTACAATTCAAGTAATAACTTGTAAAAATACCTAAAATACATATAAACTCTTAATAATTTGATTTTCTTTACTATTGACAATTCAAATTATTTTTGAGTCCCTTGAGTTTCGAATTATCAAGTGTCGACTGTAGTTATTGTACTGTGGGGAACCTGATTAAAGAACAGTATTCTAATAGAGAATGACCAAACGAAGTGTACAGGAGGGTAGAAGTGGAGGGATTAAAATTTTTGGAGTATGAAGAATATGTTTGCTCTATTGGCTAGTAGGTTGATATGGTGATTAAAGGAGAGATTGGTCGATGTGTATACCAAGATCTTTGATAATTATTACTTTACTTAATAAGTTATTATATATGGAGAAAGGTAAGGATAGGGTATATTTTAGTCTACAGCATATTGCCATAGCACTGATAAAAATGGAAGGCATCTTGCCTCACCACGCATTGCACTACACAGCTGGACCATTTTGGTCCTCCGGGCCGGATAAATATTCAGCATTAGATAAACTTGTTACTAGTTTCTAACGATTGTACAGTGGAAACCTTTCCCTGTTTTCTTGTCTTACATTGCTCGAGGATGGAGGAAATGCATTTTAGAATAATCATAACCATGAAAAGGTGACCTCTATATTAAATTAGTTATTAAAAAATAAAACGTCTTTTTAAAAACGCGATTATCGAAGTCACACATTTTACATTAATGTTTTATAAAACTAAAAAATGTAAATAAGTAAAATTGTACAATATTATATCTAAATTGAATTTTGTTTGTAATCCTTTGACTTTAAACTAAGTGAACTTGAATGAAGTTAGAAATATAAGTTTTTTTTAAATTCAGCCTATGCTTTTATATATTTTGATTTTGAAGTTTTCAATTTTTGAATGGGGCAAACGTAAGAAAACGTTTTGACTAGATTTTTGTGTCATCATTGATGTGACGACGTGGCACGTCATCGCTGAACGGGACACTCGTGAGCTCGCCCTTACTGCACTTTTTTTAGCCTTTTCACACCGAATTTGACGCCCCTGTTGAAAACTCCTAAAAAAAAGGGGGTACTTAATTGTTCTTTATCGACGAAGAATTCAAGGTAAGCTTGCTAATTTCGTTACTCACGTGTCGGAAAGTAGCCCAGGAAAATTTTTCCAAGCAGTGAAAATTCTAATTATTTCCTTAATATTGTACATAAAATAGGGTTGAACATCCCTCGTAAAATTGATTTTCCGTTCAAACTAAAACATGGCGGGAAATTTTTCCTATATCTGAACTTTTGCAAATAAATACTAAAAATTAAGAATTATTACATTTTTATGGTTATTACTATCACCAAACAAACATTCATTAGGACAATGAATTCAAATTTCTTCAACAAAATTACAACAACAAAAATTAGAAAATTTTATAATCTTTAATATTTAATTTCAAAAAGTATACAATTTTTTTCCATTAAATACATTTATTTTCTCAAGAGGGAGCTCTTTAGTTTTAATTGGGGTAAATTATAATGAAATTCCTTTGAATACTTTCTTTTTTAATAATTTTACTCACTTCATTCATTGTATGACCAAACAAATTGGCCCTGGAATGATGTTCAAGTGCAATTTTTATCTTGGTGTATCTTATCTTTTCTCTGCCCTTGAAATGTATCATTCCTCTCCTTCATTTACAAAAAAAAAAAAAAAATAAACAATACTTAATCTTATGCTCTAGCACTGACATTTGTGATAATTAATAATATATTTTACAACAGTGAATTACAAAATTACACAGATTAGATTTATTTGCACTTATGTCCAACATCCTAATTTTTTTTATTTTCAGATGACTTTACCTAAAACGTATATTAAAGGCTTTCACAATGATGATGCAATTAAGAATATGACTTATAAAAAGTTAGGAGAGACTGATATGTGTGTATCTAAACTAAGTTTGGGAGGAACAGTGTTTGGTGGAGTTTATGGGTAAGAAATGTGTGGTGATTAGTGACCGTTAATCGATAATTATTCAGAAATCATGAGATGCGGTCTGGTGTGATGTAGGTTTCAGAAAAACATTTTCTTTATCGTGCCAACGTTTCGATCTTTATTGAGATCGAAACATTGGCACGATAAAGAAAATGTTTTTCTGAAACCTACATCACACCAGACCGCATCTCACGATTTCTGAATAATTTATGGGTAAGATTTATTATTTACAAACCTCTGGATCAAGGTGTGGTCTTACCGATCAGTTCCAACATTGCAAGGACTGACACAGTCACGCGAGAAATGTCCCAGTCCTTGGCAATGTCGTAACTGAGTCGGTCTTCAAGAAAATTTGAGATTGCCTGTAAATAACTTAAATACGTCAATCTGTAGACATATTTAAGGTTGTTTTGCCACGATGACCTAAAAATAGGTTGAAAGCTTAGCAGTAACAACTAAATTTGCTTTCGTATTCAAGACCAAACTTCAATCCAGAGTGTTCGTAAGTGAAAAAGTGATCGATACTTATAATACTGAAAAAATATTTATTATATAATGTTATGTACTTGTCTTATTAAATGCAAGTTGCACAGGAAACTGGGATTGCATTAGGGTGCTGTTAAACATTGGGGACAACTACAAAATTACCCTTGTCTGGGTATCAGGGCAGAGGGGCAATTAAGAGATTGATAAATTGGTCAAGGAAACCTATTGGCCCTGAACCCTTTTGTTGCATACCAAATTTCCAAAAATGTGGATCTATTAGACAATGCGTTAACAATAAGTTCTCCATTCAATGAGAATGTAGCCAAAACAAAGGCAAGGGAAAAAGTTCATCAACTGACCATTGCAGAAATATAGGTAGGCTAGAATAATAGAAGAACTGCTAACTGGACACTGCAGACTCCAAAGGCATATGTATAGGCTCAGAGTGGCAGAAACAACTTGTGCAGATATTGCCAGGAAGAAGAAGAGAACAAGTCCTATGTTTGTACGAAGCCTTATGCAGGCTGAGATTCCTTTCCTGGTAGAGGAAAAACTTGGGCTTGAAGGATACTCATGGGACTCCTTGTTAAAAAGTAAAAAGCATTAAACTTAATGACGAGCTGTAGACAAAAATGGAGATCATAATAGACCAATACTGGTCGCAGTGAGCAGGCTGACTCCTCTAACCTTAATGTTAACAGAAAACCCCTTTTTACATCTCTAAGATTCATTTTTATATATTGATACCAAAGCGACCTTTGTTTAAAAATCTTAGGGCTTCTCGTCAATATTTTACAACAATTACCCATATAAGAACGAATCACGGTATGTTGGGTGTTTATGAGCATAGAATAGGACTTAGGGAAACCCCTAATTGCGCCACGTGTGATTGTCTGGAAAATTTAAGCCACATAGTGATGGAATGCCCAGAATACGATGAAAACCAACGTAAGTTCATTGAGGGAATTCAGTCTCTGGAGGGACTAACAAGGCCGTTTTGTCTGGAGTCCCTTGTTTCCACAGGCAGGGATGACATATTCGATCTGATTTATTGCTTCTCAAAGGAATGCAAAAAAAAAAGGTCGAGCATGGCGGTGGGTTGGGGCCTCGGCTTCCTAGACGCTTGCTTTGCTTGCCAGTCATGCTCATTATATATATAATTTAATCGACTATTGGCTTTCATTGCATAAGGATTGCAGATTTCCTAATAAGTTTGATCAAATTTTTTAATATTTTATTGTGTACCAATATTGGTAAATCTTGCTTATTGATAATTTATTTAAATGATTTCAGGGAATTTGATGACAAAGAAGCAAGAGAAACAATAGAAGAGTCTATTAAGAATGGTATAAATTATATTGATACAGCTCCGTATTATGGTGAAGGGCGGTCAGAAGCCTTTTTAGGAAAAGTAAATATTTTCTCATTATAAACCTTCCAAAATGTGAATTTTATTTGAAAATAAGTTAAAAGGTGTTAAAAGATATTCCAAGAGAAGCATACTATATATCGACAAAAGTAGGACGTTATACTTCAAAGTATGAAACGATGTTTGATTATTCCAAAGAGACGATAATTTCCCGATTTGAAGACAGCCTTGAACGCTTGTGCTTGAAGTACGTCGACTTTGCTATTGTAAGTTTTCAATAAGAAGATATTTATGAGTGAGTTAAATTTATAAATAATGTTAAAGGTACATGATGTCGAGTTTGGGGATATGCATCAACTGCTTAATGAATCAATTCCTGCAGTGCAAGCGCTTGTTGCAAAAGGAAAAGTCAGATATACAGCGATTTCCGCTTATCCGGTTTCCACTCTTTGGGATGTAGTTCAAAAAAGTAAAATCAAGATTGACATAGTTCTTTCTTACAGCAGAGAGACTCTGTTTGATTCAACTCTGTCAAAATATGCCGACAAGTTTAAAGTACGTATATCACCATTTCTGGTAATTTTTTAATATGTACTTTTACTTCTCAGAGCAAAGGCGTAGGAATTGTGAATGCATCTCCGACAGGTTTAAGACTGCTTAGCAACTGTGGGCCTGAGGCTTGGCATCCTGCAAGCAAAGAGATCAAAAATCTCTGCGCACAAGCTGCAGCTTACTGCAAAGTATTTACCACCGATGAAGTTTTTTTGAAGTTATTTCCAATAAATTATTTATGCCAAGGAAAATGGGGTTGAGCTTGGAACACTTGCGGTCTACCACGCACTGAAAAATGACAATTATGATACATGTCTTGTTGGATTCAACACCAGGGCAATCATGAACTTCAATCTAAACTTACTTGTCAAAGGACTATCACCAGAGGAACAGAAAGTTTTGGATCATTTGAAAGATAAGTACGTACTTTCTTATTTGGAATGTTGGAATTTGAAGTGAATAGATTTTTTTTCAAATTTTTTTCTTTTTTAATACATTTGGAATATACATTTTATGAATAATGAAAAAAAGTAAATATTCCACTATAAGCCAGTTCCCGTCTTAGCTGTCACAACTTGTTAAAATAAGTTAAAAATACGGATGGAGAAAATAAATGCACCCCCTTAAATTTTAATGTATTTACATTTATTCATATTTTACATACAAAAAATAGGTTTGGTTGTAAAAATAAGACATTTAAAAAGAAAATGTTTATTACCTAATTATAAACAAGCAATTATTGAGTAAAGAACAAAAAACAGAAAATTCAAAAACAAATAAAAATGTTTAAAAATACATTTTGGTCCACTTTAATATCGAGAATTCCACCTCTGGCACAAATCACATCTGTTAAACACCTTTTCATTCCTTGGAAAATATTTCTGATAAAATCCTGAGGAATTTTTTTCATGAAGAATTGGCATTTCTAATTCTTCTAGGGTTTCACCATCATACTCGTCACTTAAGTTGGAGCCAGATATGATCGGGTTCAAAAATGGACTAAGAATTGTCCACTCAATACCAACCTCATTCAGGTAGTCATCCACCTTGCAATTGGCAAGGATCTCTCACCGATGTGGGGGGCAACCAGCACTACATGTTTTTTGATTATGTGTGAAGTTAGAGATCTTCCTCGCACAACAAACAATTCGGTGTGGGTATCCAAGGAAATGCCCACCCAAAAGATCAATGACCCTCCATAGAATGCGACCTGAGGAACCATACAGGGGCATACCTATCTCCTGACCATATCCATATGAAATTATGACCATCTGAAGATTTGAGGCCAACTCTCACCCCATTGGTAAGAGAAGTCATCCCCAATCTTCCAATGTCCAATCCACATGTTCCCACAATGCTGCAGTTTCGTAGAGGCTGATGTCGGATGAACCTGTCACCTCATCTGTAGACCCTAGGTCGACCCTGACCTGGTCTTCTAGTCTGAAGCCCTGTTTCTCTGAAGTGCTGAAGAAAAAGAAAATTGTAATGATTTACACTCAGTCTTCTGGCAAATTCGTGCTGGCTGTATCCTTCCTCTAATAATGTTACCCTGACACTGTCCTACTCCTCAAATGACCCTGACTGGAGCATTGAAAAAGGTTTAAGAATATGTGAAATGAAATCAGCAAAGGAAAAAGTTTTACTGGAAGCTATTTTTAGCTTCATATAATACTACTTTTTATGCAAACGGGATTAATCAGTACAAAAGTAAATAAACAAAACGTCATTTACTGTTTATTTTGACTATGATAGTTCCTAATTACCTGTAACTAATGTAGAAAGTTAATGGTTTTAATTTTAAAGTAAATAAATCAAGTGGTGTGTTAAATTTGTCCATCAGTGTAGTTGTAAAGAATTTCAAATATATGTTAGAAATAAGGTTGAAAATTTGACGGGTCACCCACACAGTAGTAGAGACATTTTCCACAAAATCATAGAAACGCGACAGACAAAGAGTCTGTCCATTAAATAACAAAAGTGGAGGAATTATCTAGTGTGGGAAGGTTGTCGTAGACACAGTTCATGTAGCTCTGGAACACCATAAATTTTGGGTCATATCAGCCCCAGGTGGGCATTGTATAAAGTGCATTGACATGGGACTGCTCAATGGAAACTCCTGAGAATTACAAATTATTATACACGTGGCCAGTCCTTGTATAAGGAAGTTGTCCTCTGGCTCAACAGTTTTTGGTTTTCCCTTCCTCCCCTACCCTGGCTGGAAAATCAGCATAAAAGGGGTTGATTTGAAAAACAGTCAGTCAAGTCGAGAATTCAGTCAATCCGAGAAATCAGTAAAGAGCCGTCAAGTAACTACACTGTCGAGAAAGACACAGCCAGCAAGAGCCTAGCCATTGTGACAAGTCGAAAAGAGTCGACTGTTGAGGCTACAGGAAGTTGTGGGAATTAGATCCTGGAAGTTGCTGACAGATTTGGAAGCTGGTGTTGGCGACCATCAAGTAAGTCATCTTGAGAATAGGCTTATCCCCAGAGTTGTGGCTGTCTTGCTTTGGTTTGACTTTCTGTTTGTTTAGTACAGTATTAAAATGGGCCAATGTAACAATAAATATGAATACAATCTCTGGTTTATTATATTTTTGGACCTTACACACAAAAGTGTGCTGAATGTTCTCGTGTCGCTTAGCAGTAAGAGTTTATAGAGCGTCAACGCTCGCCTACATCACCATGCAGGATAAGTTAAAAAATATTATTTTTTAAGTGGTAAACAATTTTGAAGTTAATCGAGTTTTTATAAATTTGTTTTGAAACGAACTACAATTTGTTAAGAAGACACTCAAAATAACGTGATTATAATTATATTTCTGTATTTGCCAACTACACGAAACTACAAATTTTATTCCACTTTGCTTTTTATTGTATACTGTTTACGAGCAATAATTTTCTTATAAAGTTGACATTGTTCTAATGTTAATAAAATTATACCTTTTTTTAATAGGTTTTTCAAAAATAAAAGCATGCACTGGGAAGGAATGGAACTTTTGATGATTAAAAACTATTTAAATTCATTTAAAACGTCACCTTAGTTGATTATTTTCCATATTTTGGAAGTAACAATAAGCCAAGATACTGAAATATGTTTGTAAATGATTTTATTATTATATTAAAGCTACATTATTGTAATTTGATTGTTGTCATTTTTATTTTCAACTTTTATATTTAATCTTACCTCCTTCCATAAAATAGTCTATTTTTAAAAATATTTTGTCATATTAACCATTTTTTTTCTTTTATTAAAAGTTACTCCTATGTCACTCTAAAACAGTTTTACACAATGAAAATATTTACTAAGTGTTTATTATTTAATGATTTTCCATGATTCACACTGCTGCAGTATTCTCAGTTGAATGCATTTTGAGAGTAAATAAAATTACTTATTTTAAAAAAAAGGACTTTCATTGTTAATAATTGGATATTTGTTATGGACCATATAAATTAAATTGATAAAAAATATTTATGCAGACTAACAGATAATATATTTTTTTTTACATGAGTTTACTTTTAGATTATATAAGTTTAAGAGCATTTAATTTTTTTTATTACAGTAAATATAAAATACTATTTTCAATTTCACATTATAAATATATCACTATATAAATTTTTTTGGTTATTAAGAGTTTCTCCATTTTTATAAGAATACATAATATAAATAATAAAAAAGATACATTCTATACATACATACATGTTTGAAATATAAAAACATTATTATACAAATTTGTTTTTCAAATTTTAATTGTCCTTTTTTGGTTCAGGCACAGTGAAATCCCCTCCTTCATTGAGTTCCATAACACAACACCTCGGGAACCAACCACGGACCCGTTTGCCACTTGGGTCGTCCGCCGCTTTTTCTCCAAACAACCAATACCTGCCAAAATATGTTTTTAGTCAAAGTTTACTAACTAAACTACAGACCACTCACCTTCGCCATCTCGTGACGCTGATAATTTCAGAAGGTTTCAGGGCAATACGAGGCTCGTCGGAGAGAGGAGGATGGGTGCACACCCTCCAACCGTGCACTACAGGAAACCAATATCCGCTGTATGCCCTCTCCACAATGTACGGCCTTGTTCGCAGTCGCTTTTCATGCTTCTGCTCTTTTTGTTCTATCTATATTACATACAAACTTAAAATTATATTTCTGCGTAATTATAAGTACAGATAATACAGACAGTCAGTGTGTACTGATTGCACCCTTCAACGACTGGCCATGTAATTCCATCGCCTACAGTTTCCATATTTATGTTAAAAACCTGCAGCAAATTTTGCTTCCAACCCAAATCATAAGGGTAAATAAATTCGGGGTCATCTGGCAGTCTTCTTGAAACCGCTTTTGAATATATCCAGTCTTCTATTCCAGTTCTATTGTTCAAAATTGCTCTTATCTATCAAAGAAGAAAATTATTAGATTTTCTTTAATAAAATTACGATTATTGAATCATACTTGGAAGAAAAACAGCGCTCCAACAGATAATGCAACACCTATTGAAAGCCCAACTGCAAAAATTGTAAGTGCTTGGCTCATAAATGAAAGTTGAACTTGATTGTAAGGAGAATGATATGCGTACCAAGCCTGCAACAGCAAATGTTAATTAAGAAAATTTGTATAATGCTATTTAAATTATTTAAAGTTTTACCCGATAAAAAGCTCTATACAGAGCGACACTTATCACACAGGCTGCTTGAACACAACCAGAAGAACTGAAGAAAAGAAACATGGTGAAGTTGGTGTGGTTGCCATGCCCGACACAGTTGTTAATCCATGGGCAATGATGATCCATTTTCATCACACATCTACCGCCTACAGCAATGTCATTAATCAGTCCATGTGTGAATTTCTTAGAAATCTGATTTTTACACAATTAATGGGAAATGAGAATGAAAGACATTATAAATGATTTTTTTAAAAATATATCTCACTTACACTGGATATAAGACAAACAACAAAGCAGAAGTTGATAATAAATTAAATAAAAAAACAAGTAGGTCTTAATTGATCTTTTTAATTATTTCGGTTAATTATACTTTTTATCTAAAGTCTTGGTTAAGATGAAAAATTTAGTCATGAGCGGGATTCAAACCCACGAACTTCAGCTCAATACGCCGCTGCTCTGACTACTTGTCACAATAGTTCAAGTGGTTAGAGCAGCAGCGTATTGAACCGAAGGACGTGGGTTTGAATCCAGCTCGTAACTAATTTTTTTCTCTCAAGCAAGACTTTAGATAAAAAGTATTAATTAATACAAACAGGAATATTTTGTCAATTGGATCAGTGATTATGATTTTCAAGAATATTTATGATTGCAAATCACCAGTTCTGATTAGAGTGAGGAGTTTGCTAGTTTTTATTTAAAGTTTTTTAATATACACTGGCTCACATAAAAAAAACTTACATTTTCTACAGTGGTGAGACCGAGGTGCTTTGTACCCCTGGCATGAGGTACAAAATTGTAGATAAACCTCATCCTTCTCATTTTCCTGCAAATCAAAAGAAAATGTACTTTGTAGCTGATATTTTAGTCTTTTTGTCTAAGCCAATCACCTTAAATGGAATAGACTCTATTCATTATTTAACAATTTTTTTATTTTGTGTGGTGATTAGTGGCGGTTAATCGATATTTATTTAGAAATCGTGAGATGCGGTCTGGTGTGATGTAGGTTTCAGAAAAACATTTTCTTTATCGTGCCAACGTTTCGATCTTTATTGAGATCATCTTCAGGGCCTGGGATTTACAAACATTGTTTACACACAACAATTACAATTTGGATGTGGAAAAGTGAATTTATACAATGCAAAATATATTTTTTATACATTCAATCAAAGTATTTCTACTCACTCAAAGTGTTTTTTCTTCTTTGTAATTGTGCCATTCTTGTGTGTTGTGTCGAGAGTGCCAGTGAGATTTTGCTATTTTGTGTTTATATATTCACTGGCACTCTCGAACGACACGCAAGAATGGCACACACTTTGAGTGAGTAGAAATACTTTGATTGAATATATAAAAAATATATTTTGCATTGTACAAATTCACTTTTCCACATCCTAAATGTATTTGTTAAATGTAAACAATGTTTTAAAATCCCAGGCCCTGAAGATGATCTCAATAAAGATCGAAACATTGGTACGATAAAGAAAATGTTTTTCTGAAACCTACATCACACCAGACCGCATCTCACGATTTCTAACTAAATTTTTTTATTGACAAATGCAACAACATGCAGGATTTGGTCACTACCAATAATTTTAGTCTGCCTACAATTGTATTGAGCAGACTATTTTTCGTACCTTGCAAGGAATACAACATTCCAGATTATCTTTTGTGGATAGATGGAAAGGTACTGGGAAAAGGACAAACATTATTTTTAAAACGTTTACCGATGCAAAACAATTTTAATGATATGCACCCAACTGACAAAAAATTTAAATTGTACGAAAGACAACCAGGTGTGTATGCCTAGAAAACAATGCAGGAGTCTAAACATCAAACACTATGATGAAGATATAGGCAAGTAAAATGCTCATGTACAACACAAATGAGAAGGCTCACTTCCTATGGGTGCCTGCCCTTAAAAAATTAAACAAAGGCATGGGAAAAACGTTGTTGAAGAGGTGAAATGCTCGCTGTTCATAATAAACGAAAGATGAAAAAAAAACTATTAGAGTTTTGCAGAACAGACTGGAGAAACTGGTGATTTTTGTTTGGGAAATTAAACTTTTAATTTAGTGTTTTGGTCCAATATTATTTTTAATTTATTCAATACCTTCAAGGAATGTTTTCTTTTAATTTAAATCCTTTGTTTTGTGGTTTAATATTTTTTCACAGTTTCAACAATGTTTATGTAGTTTTTATTTTGTTTTTCATTTTATTTCTTTGTAAAAAGTTTCAGAGCTTTTTCAGAACTTCTGTCACACAGCTACATCTGCTGCATCATTTTTTTTACTTGGGTTGGTTGGTTAAGAAAAAGAAGAAAAATAGCTATATTTTGGGACTGGTGTCCCCTAAAAAAAAAAATAAAAAAAAAAATATACCAATAAGGCAGGACAGAAGAAAAAATTACGAGAATATTAAACAAAAATAACAAATGTTAATGTGAGGTCTCTGCTTGGAGGGAGAGGAGGTGATTATACAGGTGGGATTTAAAGGAGGAAAAGGAGGCAGCATGATGAATAGGAAGGGGAAGGGAGTTCCAGAGTTTAGGGGCTTGGATCAGAAAGGATCTTTCGAAGGTGTGGGTTGTATGTTGCGGAAGGATAAGGTCGATTGGGGATGAGCGGGTCTTACAAGTGAGATGTGAGGAGTTGAATTGGAGGGATTGGATGATGTAAGGAGTGTGGTTGGACTGGAAAAGAAAGCAACCGAGGAAATACTGTGCACAGAAGGAGGGGAATAGCCAGGAAAGTTGGGAATACAACCCCGACACCCGGGATCCCGTGGGGTGCCGTACACAAATCTTACGCAACCATTCATAATACGCTTCAATCGCGTGTATTCCCCCTCCGAGAGACCACTGTATGACACACAGCTGTAATCGAGGAAGGAAAGTATAAAGGAAGATACAATGAGTTTGCGGGTGGAGAAAGGTAAGAGAAGCCAGGACCGACGAAACAGGCTGAGGGAGGCAATGGAATGGCGGGAAATTTGGGAAATATGAGAATGCCAGGAAAGGTTTTGGTCAAAGACTACTCCTAGGTTTTTAACCGAAGAGCAGAAGGGGATGGGATGGTTATTTAGCATGAGAGGTGGGATGCTAGGGAGGGAATTGAGTTGCCTGGACCCGATAATTATGGCGGTGGATTTGGATGGATTGAGGACTAGGGAATTTTTATGGGCCCATTCGTTGATGGAGTTTAGGTCTTTTTGGATCTTGAGAATGGCTAGACATATTTCAGCATTTTTTTCATCTTGTCAGACCCAATGCTGAAGATGGCAAAATACAGTAACTTTGAAAACACAGACCAACACAGCTAGGACCAAAATATTGAATAAATTACAAGTTCATCACCCCTCAGACCGCAAAAATAAATCTCACAACATACAGTAAACATCAATCATGCTTATATGTATTCACAAATCTTAATTATTCTAATTGTCAGATGAATATTTACCGGCTTCCAGTTCAAAGGTAAGTATCCAGGTCCTTCGCACATAGCACATAAGAAATTGTACAGAGTGAGACCGCTGAAGGAAAGGAATATTATCATGTTGAAAAAGCCGGCAAGGGATTGCATCGGAGGTAATATCTCAATGCTACAAATTATCATCGTGTAAGATACAATTTTTATGATGCCTGCAACAAAAATTTCTTAGTTAAGAATATATCAGACCAACTTTGTTTTAAATTTGGGATGTGTCTTATGAAAATAATTTTTAAAATTGTACAGTGAATTTTCAACTTATCATTTATACCATATTAATAATTTTTATACCATAATCTGGTAAAATGTTATCAACAAAGTTTGAAAGTTGTCATCTTTACAAATATTCAAACGTCACATAACCAAGCATTTTTTCACAAAGCTAAACACGATTTTTTAAAAATTAATTCCTGCCATAAAGGATAGCTTACCCTTCTACTCATTGGGTACTGCAGAACACACATTTTTAATTATAAAATAAATAAATGTTCGAGGATTATGTTTACAGATAATTAGGGTCATGGGTTTGATTCCATCGCCCCTGGAATTTTCTTTCACACTCCCTTAAAAATATTGTATATCCATACTGCATGGAATATGGCTAATATGTAAATGTGTTAGGATATGAAAAAAAGAAAAAGGACTTTGTTGGGATTCAAAACCAGAACTGATAGTGTGGTGACTAACATTTGTAAAATCTGTATAAGGGAATATCCAAAAACTTTGATAAAACTAATAATAATATCATGCAGTATTTGTTCTGAAGTTAACACAAAAAAGGCTTCTCTTGATACAAAATATTTCCAAAAATATTTAATGGATTGGATGAAAAAAATCTATCTGTTGACCAAAAAATGTACATTGATCGAACAACCATGTTTAACTTACAGTACTGTTAAGTAAAACCTTTGAAAAGTAATATTCAAAAAGTATAATGATTATGAATAAATGAATGAATGAAGAAAGAACTTTATTTTCCGAAAGAAAATACATTTAACATAATAAATAAAAAATTATTAATACAGCGTAAAACCATCTGCTGAAAGTGGTGGGAATTCACTTGAAAACAAGGATGTACAAACAAAAAATCAAAATCAAAATAACATAAATAAAACAAAAATAAACATACGAGAAAATGAAATCTTTGTGAATACAATATATAGAACTAAAATTAAAATAAATTAATAATAAAATTGTTCCACAAGCTCTCTGTGGTACCCATTTTTTCAATGAGATAGGCACTTGAAATTCTATTAGTACTGAAAAAGGTAATTCCAGAACTCAGCAAGGATGGAACACTCAGCCAGAAAATGAAAAAGGTCTTTCTTTGCGGAGGAGCTGCACAGTGAACAGTGATCAACAGAATTAATAATTTCTCATTTGGGAGACATTAAGGTAAATCACCTAGGCATCTAAGCTTGATGAACCATTTATTACAAGCAGACATAATTAGACTTTTATTGTATTTAAGAAAGCTTTTGAATGGTCAAGTTCTTTGTATAGACGAAATCTAGTGGTTCTACTAGCCAATTTGGAACAGCCTTTGAAATGTAACTAATGAATCTTTCAACTGGGAGTATTGAAAACCATTTTCAGTAATAAAAAAAATCCAGATTACAATCATGGACAAGTGAATTGAACTTTTTGAACCAGGACAAGGTTGCACTACACTTTGACTACAGCATGTTTAGGAAGTCTATGCTCAGGTAACGAGTGGGTCCTGCCTAAATAGGATAGTGAAGCTTTAGGTTCTGTTTTTGTTTCCGAGTAGAGCATGTAGTTCGAAATAAAAGCCTGGAGGTGAAATAATTTTCTAATATAGAAATACTGAAAGGATTCGACTAAATCAAATGTTAGAAGCGTAGCACACCATCTCATCCTCCAATACCTAAAACTTTGAATTGGATGGAATAGAGGGTTGAAAGCAGCAGGCTGGACCAAACTGGATTAATCACAAATTTTTAAGATTAGCAGACAGAGATAGTTTTGGCCTGAAGACGAACCCCACGCACTTATACTCCTTCTCAACTTCAAATCGTTTGCCTTGGAAGAACCAGTGATCCTTATCCAGCCTCCTCTATGAAAAAAATCCTCATTGTTTTATTAATTTAAATTGACATAAAGGTTCCATTGAGAGCAATATTTTTCCAATGTGATAAAGTTCCAATGTTACTCTGTAAGGCAACAGAACTAGCCAAGATGACTAATTCATCAGCATAAGAAGACTTTTAATCAGATTAAAGCATTATAATTAACATTAAATTTATTTAGTCCACTCTGTAAACTATCTGCAAAATATATGTTAACAATAAACTCACAAAGTCTGTATTAAGTTCAAGTTATAGACTCAATTCTGCACATACGAGCAGTGCCTATGATTTCTGGCAACCCTTAAAAGTCATCTATTCTGATTTGTTGGCAGTTTGGGTTTTTGGACTTTTCTGTACCACTGCTGAAGTTATGTTTAAGGGATATCAACAAGGCCAGGCTGGGCGTTAGTGGTCACAATGATTAACCATTGACACAGCTTTCATCGCTAAGAAAAAGCAGTTCTACATTCGAATCGATATACTTACAAATTAATTAAGTTTTTTCTATAGGGTTTTGGTTGAAATGAAAAAGTTAGTGTCATGAAAAAGGATTCGAACCCTTGACCTTCAGCTCAATACGCCGCTGCTCTAACCACTTGAGCTATAGTGACACTATCACTTTTTTGTTTCAACTAAAACCTTACATAAAAAGGTTAATTAATTTAAAGAAGTAATTTGATCAATCAGACTAAATATAATAGATATTTGAATTTTTTTATTTTTAACACTGGCATCCTGGGTGTTGACATGACCTCTGCTGCTGCAGACCAAGGTCATTTCAGGCCCTAATACCCGCAGTTTTAACCTAAACACACCCATTCTTTCTTATTTACACGCATTTCATTGAAATAATGTAATGATGTACAAGATATAATTATGATTCTATTATTTCACTTTTATTTTGAAACCCCCCCCCCCAAAGAAATATTTGAAATTTATCCTGCATGTTAATTTACCATCATTGAGTTTAGCTGGAGTTGTTCAAGAACGGGGCTATTTTATTTTATAAGTTTGACGTTTAATGTTCGTAAATGTAAAGGTACAAGAAGCATCGAAGTAGTAGATGGCCGAGGGATGTCGAATACATCATCCTCGTGGCATACATTTACATAATAATCTTGAAAAATTGGATTTTAAAAACTTTATAAGCTTTTCCAACTTAAAGAAGTTTTTATAATCCAGATTCTCATCTATATCCAACAAAAAGAAAAGCGAGAAATATTAGAAAACCTTTATGTATTGCTATGTAATATATAATAAGCATGGTTTAGTATAAAACAATGTCCAACAATATTGTAATCATATATTTATGATATTCGACCACCTGTCAGATTGATTTGTCTTTTCAGAAAATAAAATTATGCTACTTTTCTTTCATAGTTTTAACAAATAAATAATAAAACTATGTAAGTTTATAAATGTAATAAATTTTTTCACTTTCTTCTTCTCAACTGGTACGTATATGTATCTTGACAAGTCTGTTCTCCACGAGACGATTCAAATTGCATAAAATTTTACAAATTAACGGAATTTATTTGCCCCTTCGACTTACCCAGAGCTATTAGGGGGCCCCAGTGGCAAAGCCTTTTAAAAGGGCGGAAACACATCTCGGGAGATGGTCTCACTTAGTGGCAAAATCTCTACCCACTTTGTACAATTGCAGAACAAAACAAAGCAATCCTAACAACATACATTGCTGTTCCCTTGTTAGTTGTTACTTTGTGACCAGTGTGTCAGGAAGGTAGCACCTTTGCTCACTTACAAGTAACAACTAACTCTGTACCCTACCACACATCAATATTAAAAACCACAAATATTCATAATTATTGAAAATTCAATAGTTAATTAAACTTTAATATAATTATTTTGTAATGTTACAAACGTATGTTTTGACTACAAGCATTAAAAACACTCAAAAGAAAAGCTCCCTCCAAATCCCCACCTTACCCACTATGCCTCACTTATTTCAAAATTCAAATATTTTTATTTATTTATTTTAAAGGTACAAATAGGGCTTTATACCCCCATGACATATTAGAAATAAATTAATTTTTGTAAACATAATAAAATAATAATAATAATACAGCAATAATAATAATAAAGTATTCAAAACAATAATGACAATATATTTTTAAATATTAATTATTATTCGGAAATCGTAGGATGCGGTCTGGCGTGATATAGGTTTCAATGACAACGTTTCAATCTTTATTGAGATCATCTTCAGGGCCTGGGATTTACAAACATTGTTTAAATTTAGCAAATGTAGGATGTGGAAAAAAGTGAATTTATACAATGCAAAAAAAAAAAAAAAAATTATATTCAATCAAAGTATTTCTACTCACTCAAAGTATTTGTTTTCTGCGTACTGAGTGAGTAGAAATACTTCGATTGAATATAAAAAATATTTTTTTGCATTGTATAAATTCACTTTTTTCCACATCCTACATGTATTTATTAAATTTAAACAATGTTTGTAAAATCCCAGGCCCTGAAGATGATCTCAATAAAGATCAAAACGTTGGCACGATAAAGAAAATGTTTTTCCGAAACCTACATCACACCAGACCGCATCGCACGATTTCCGAATAATCATCGACTAATCACCACATATATTAATTATTTATAATTGAATGATGAAACCACATTATGGAAGAAAAGCAGAAAGAGAAAAAAAAGAAAATGGGAAAAAGAAAAGGAAGAGGGAAAAAGGAGATGATTCATGTTGTTTTTAAAAGCTCAGAAGCCATGGACCTGTGAAACAAGCCAGCAATTCTGAATAATAATGCTAAAAGTTTAGAAGAGGCTGAAGGACATTTATTTGATTAATTTTAAATATATATATTCAATTCTAAGTTTATAAGTGTTTAGAATGTTAAGGTTGCTGAAGTCAGGATGAAATATGATCCCATGGTTTAAAATCATAACAGTATCTAATGCAGGAATGATAAGCAATGTGAAGGCAATGAGAAGATTGAGAGTCTAAGGAAAGTGAAACAAATACTACTAAAGTAAGAAAATAAAGGAATTATTAGTAGGGATTTAATAAGGAGAACTCTAAGTTTTCTGTGGAGTGAAAAGTTTAGCCGTTGAAGTGAATGGAGGCTTGAGTAGATCTTTTTAATAATAGATGGTAAGATAAATAACGCTGAGATTTTTAACTTTAGGACAAAAATGAATATGGGAGTCATAGAAATGATGAACGGTGGAGTGAGTGCGGTTCAATCCTTTTAAAAAATCTTTTGTATCTATCTTTTATCTTTTATAAAAAATCTTTTATTTCTTTTTAAAAGGATAAGGGAAGCCATTGGTATGCAATCGATTAATAGGTTTTTTGTGGAAATTAAATAAAGATTTGTTAGGATTTTAAAGCCATTGTTACTTGACCATGAACATCATTTTGAGCAGAGAGAGATGTTGCTTGTAGAACGTTGAATGTAACGCTATGTAATCAGCTTATAGATGAAATTAGGAGAATTAAGAACTAATGGAAGATCATTTAAAAACATAGAAAAGAGTAAAAGCCCAAGGATTGGGCCTTGGGGTATACAAGCTGAAATTGATAGAGAAAAGAAAATAGTATGTGAAACTTTAATGCTGAAAAAAAAGTCCTCATCAAGACCACCTACATAAGGGAGCTGAAGTCAGTTGAAGACAAGAAAACATACCAAGAATTGTGTAAATTTTTAACCAAAATAATGCTAAAAGTGTAAACTGAAATAAATGATCAAATTACCATTATTGCTTATTATGTTATTCATGGTTTTTCTGTAATTTTATGCAAATCTACAATATAGGTTTGACTTGTGCCAATCCTTTCCATTCAAAATTGTTAAGAAATCATCTTCTGAATGATTTTGTATGAAATATTTTTTGCAGAAATTTGGAGAAAACAAGGCATGCAGCAACAGAATGAAATGTGGTATTTTTCATATTGCAGAGTAAAAAGTTCCGTCTCGTCTGCTGTAATTTTGTAAAGTTTAAATTTAGGAGATCCCACTATTTAAAACAAATTTACATACATGATTTAGACTGCTAAAAAGATTACTTGACAAATATCTAAAGTAACATAAAGAAAAAAAGACTACACTGCCTGCTAGCACCCTTGAGAGGTGCGGTCAGTGAGGATAGGTTGGCTATGATCACAACAGAATGCTGCAAATGAAACAAAATAGTTGATTTTCTGAAGTTTGGCAATTTTCTTCTGTTGTATGGGACTGCAAAGGACTTTGAGGAAGAAAGATGAAGATGAGGGATTCCAAAGACTTAGAGAGGGAACGCGTTGGAAAAGACCAAGCTTAATTTTTTACTTAAGAATATTTATAAGTTTTTGTTTTGTATATTTCATTATAAAATTTGCAAACTAACTTGTAGGGCTTGATATATTTTTTTAGCAAGTGTACTGTTTTTAATTTGGTTTATTTAATAAAGTTTTATTTATTTCATTTTCTTATTTATATTCAAGCCTTTTCATTTACCTCATTGCGAGCCAAAGTATGTTTTTGATGGTTCACTAATCCAGAAGAAAGAAAAGGGCAATGCAGTACAAAAGAAACAGGTATGGTATTAGTTTCAATGAAAGAAAATAAAATTTATGTTAATATTTTATTTAATAAAAATTGGCATGTAACTGTATTAAAATACAATAAATGATTTAATATCTTCTTTCTTAATTGTATGAGTTTGCTTATAGCATCATATTTACCTATAAATTAATTCTAGGTTGTCGAAAAATTTATTCATTCATTTAAAATATTATTGTTATTTTACAAAAATTGTACTTTGAATAATTTATATAGTCACAATTATTTTTGTACTGTTAACTTTTTGAAAATGAAACCCTATCTTTTATTGCTTTAAATATAGCGTTCTTGATTTCCTTAAATTCCATGGAAGAATCTAGAAAACAAAAAATTGACATTAAAAACTGAAATAAATAAAAAAAAATTAATCTCTAAATTATAAGGAAAGGTGTTATACCACAAAATGGTGGCTTGGTGTTTTTAATTTCCATAAGGAAATTTCCTCTAGCTGGAATAAATTCTGATTCATAACCAACAACTGTTTCATTTTTTTCCGAAACCATTTTGGCGATCGGTGTTGTAAAATATTTAGCTATTCCTAGACTGGCAACACTACCCAAACAAACAAAAAAGTATTAATATAAAATTAACAAATGTTTTTAATATACATTATAAAGTTACTTTAAAACTTTTTCAAGGTTTGAAATTTTTCTTCCAACAAATCCACATTCACTGAAATTCAATGAAGAAGTGAAGTATTGATGGGATCGTCCATGGGAACAGCTCACTATTCCGTCAATTACTGTAAAATAATTTAAAAAGATAGTTTATCAGTTGTAAAAATTAAATTGTCAGTTTAATAAATTAATCAGACCTTCCACAGTCATGTTTCTTATATCTTCCAAGGAGGTAATTTTATTAGGTAAAGCATTTGAGATGCATCCGGGTTGAAGGCTTCCTCCAGCAAAATAATAGTCAACGTCTCCTATAAAAAAGATTATTTGGTGTGATTATAAAATAAAATACATGTTATTAACATTCAAGTTTAGATTTTTAGTGTCACAATAAGGCTGAAATATTTAATATAATTAGAATAATTACCAGCAGGTGACATCATGCCAAACCCAAATAGTGGTAGAAATGGTCTCGCATCCGTGTGAAAGACATCGACAAAATCAGCATCTTCGCTATCCAATCGGACTGAAGAGTCAGTAAATTCAAAACAGGGCTGAGCCGGGTCAAGGGCTGTGAAGTTTATAGAATGATGTGATTTCAGTAATTATTAAACTGTATTAAAACAATTTACCTGTGAGTCGACCCACTCTAGTCCCATTTGTAGAGTCAGTTTGATTATTTACATTTTTGATACGTTTAGCTGCATAGGCCATCGTGTGGGCACCTAAACTGTGTCCTATGAGGTAAATTTTTTTAACATCTAGTCCATCCTCAATTAATTTCTGGGCAAATCTAAAAATACAAAGCTATAAAATGTTTCTTCCGTTATCATCTCATACAATATACCTATTAATTTCTGCACCCACAATCCTAGTGTTTGATGCAGCTTGAAAATAATTCATCAATGAAGAACCGTTTTTCCAGTCCACAATAAAAACATTAGCATCCGTCTAAAAATCACATAAATATTGTCTTTAGTAAATTTATATTTTTTATTTAAAAAAAACTTGCTTTTTTTAAGAGGACGTCCTTCAAGTTCAATATCCAATCTGCTTCACCATTGCTGGCAAAACCATGGGTGATAAAAATAGTCTTTGGCCGGTCCTTATTATATACTTGCTTATCGAATTGAGGCACGGGCCACAAAGAAACTGGAGAACCTTTTTGATATTTCCTTTAACATTTAATTGAAAAAATGATCATTTGAAGAATAAAGCAATATTCAAGTCGAAAATAGATTAAGAATAACCTTGTGTAAAGGATCATCGAGGTGTCTATATCTCCAGGTTCATAAGGTGCTGGGACAGGCCTCAACGTTGAAACCCAAGGACTGCCCATAGGAAAACAGCCCAGCTCATCATAACAAGACCCATCTTCTTCTACAAAATACTCCCATCAGACTACTATTTTTTTAAATACTAAAATTATTAATAATTATTCTTAAATTTCTTTATTAAGATTCTTTATTTCTGAAAGCACACTATAACAGACAAATATTTTATTTTTTATAAAATAAACTGAAAGTTTGTCATTTGTCTCGAGTGCCAACTCAATACACATTTATTTATTTTTTTAAATGTTTCTAATTACCCTTAGAGGCACATTTCTGTAGAAGTGCAACTCTTGAGGCTTCACTAACACCATCAGGTATTGCGCATGTCACTTTATCTGGATTTAAAAAACAAAAAACTTCAGTTTCATAACTTATATGTACTTTTGGTAATTCATTAAACCTTTAATTCCTTCTGCAAGTTGTTTGCCGACAGAAGTTACTGAATCTAAAATTGAAAACCAGATTAATTATAATACACAATCATATTTAATTATTCTTAATAATAAATTATATGTAAATTTCCTCAGTTAAATCAATGAGTGTTTTTAAAAACTTTTATTTAAACTAACTGGATAGAAGAATTGATTCTGGGACTGCGGTGGACAAGTGGTAAGAGCTTCTGGCTTATATTTGCCATGCTAACAGTCCTGGGTTCGAATCCCAGCACAGCCAGGGATTTTTGATTGAGAATATTATGAAAGAGGTATTGTAAAGTGTTTGACCCCTTGTCCGCAACACACAATATTTAGTGGGACATTAAGTCCTCCTGAGTGACAGGAATTACTTTACTTTACTTTTCAGACGTTCTGCGACTACAAATGAAAAGAGAGTGAATAATAATTATTAGTGTGTGGTGGTTAGTGACCGTTAATCGATAATTATTCAGAAATCGTGAGATGCGATCTGGTGTGATGAAGGTATCAGAAAAACATTTTCTTTATCGTGCCAACGTTTCAATCTTTATTGAGATCATCTTCAGGGCTCAAAGTGTTTGTCTTCTGTGTAATTGTGCCATTCTTGCGTGTCGTGTTGAGAGTGCCAGTGAGATTTCAAAAATCTGTTAAAAAAGTTGTTACTACCAAGCTTTCAACTTATTTTATGGTCATCTTCAAGGAAAAACAATTTAAATATGTCTACAAATTGATGTTTAAGTTTTTAATAGAAGGTTTCTAATTTCTTCGAAGACTGACTCAGTCCCAACATTGCCAAGGACTGTAACATCGATTTGTTACTTGACCTCAGTGTTACAGTCCTTGGTAGTGTAATGGCTGAGTCGGTCTTCAAAGAAAATTGAAAGTATCTGTTAAAAACTTAATGCCAATTTGCAGACATATTTAAAATTGTTTTTCCCTAATTTTGACCTTAAAACAGGTCAAAAGCAAAACAGTCAGTTTTAAAACAGTAAAAAATAATGAAATTTTCATTAAGATCATACCGAGATCAAGATTATTCGTACTGTATTTTATTCATAATTTTTAAGATTATTATTCCAGAGACGGAATTCTTTTTTCGCGATCCTTCATCTTTTTGTACCTAATACTAGAGGGATAATACCTCAAGGAAAACTGACAGGCAATTGGCTGATCTTAGCCACTTTGTTTTATAATTTTTCCCATTTTTAGTCCAATTTTTAGTTAAAGCAATACTTAAAATAAACAATTACTTACCTTTAACATCTTTTGCAATTCCCTTTTTCAAAATTGAGGCCTCATCTAGAATTAATTATAGATTATCCAATCACATAATTTAATTAGTCAATTGGTGTAATATGCATGTAAATATTTTGTTATTGGGAATGTTAGGCCTATAGAATAATCATAATTAGTTAATTATGAGATTTCTTGAGAAAGTGTAAATAACAGAACAATAAATATTATAACTCAAAATAAAAACCTAATACTTTGCAAGCAAACTTCAATTGAAGCAATAATGCTTATTGAATAATTCCTCAGATTAGATAAGTTAACAGGTAAAAAATGTATCTATAAAATGTAATATTTAATTGAGACAAGTTTAATACATATCTTTCCTCATATATAATTAATTTTTCTCATTTATGTGTACATAATCATTGAAAAACATTGAAAATAGGTGTCAGGTTCATCCACAAACAATAAAAGACTGAGGAGGGGTCAAAAGGTGTCAGTCAAGGTAACACGGGTGGAAAAGTTAAAAAAAAAGTCCAATAAAACAAAAAGACTATACACTTTTGTTGAATATATAACCCCTTAGTTATTTAAGCCAAAGAATCAACATAAAAAAATAAGCTATGTATCATACTGGAAAAAAAATTAGTTTGCCATTTACTAAGTAGATATTAAGTTTACTTGATAAATATCATAAATTAAATTATGGCAGAGCAAATGTGTAGCTGATAGTCTATTTTTTAAAACGATTTTGATGGATCAACATTGCCAGCATAATTTACTCAATAAAACATTATTTGTTAAAAATTGTTTTTGTCATTAAAAATTGGTAGTTACCATTCATACACTGGGATGGAAAAAAAAGGCCACCCTCGTATTTTTATGGTAAATATTTGCAATAATTATAATTTTTATTTTTAATTGTTTACTGGATATTTTTAAAGAAAAATATAAAAAATAGCTAAAAAAATTAAACTAATTTATAAATTATAAAATATATTAAATAATATTATTAATTAATAAATTTTAAACTGACTAAAATAATTTTATCAAAAATGTTGCTATGGAAACAATGAGAAAATATTCAATTCAGTAAGGAATATTTCCTCCTCTTGTGTTGATCACCGCTTGCATTCGATTTTATGACATTTTGAATGTACTGCTGTGGAATTTTTTATACTCCTACAACAGCGCCATTCTTAACCCTTCTCTGGCATCACTGGGTGACTTTTTATCCTCTTTGACAACTCATCCCAAAGTAGGGTTTAAATCAGGACTACATGCTGGACACTCCAAACATTGAATTGAAGCATGTTCCAAGAAGTCACCACTGCTGTGTGGGGCCTTGCATTGTCATGCATAAAAATAAAATCGTCACCATTAATGACCTGCCCAAAGCATAAAACCACCACCTCCATAGCTTCTCTGGAGCGAAAATGTTGCGAGGATATATCGCTTTTGTTCTTCTCTAAACCCTCTCTCGGCTATCAGAAGACCACAATCAAAACATTTTTCATCTGAAAACAAGATTTTGGACAGATGTTTGTCTTGAGAAACTTAACTGAGCTGTTCTGAGCCTTGTCAGAAGTTCTGGACCAGTGGCAAGTCTTCTTGCATGTAATCCAAAAAATGTAAAAGTCTTCACCTTACAGTACACAAAGTGAAATTAACAATTCTAACTTGTTGAAGTTGTTTCTTTATTAAATTTGAAACAATAATCTCTCTGAGATGTGATATGATGATGACCTGATCTATGCTTTCATGAGTATCTCAATTCCATTCTTCATTCCAGCATCTCAGTAGTGATGGAAGGACGATCCTTCGGACAGTTGTTCTGGAAATGTTCAGCACCCTGGCCACATACACTTGACTTTTCCCATCTTCCAATAATACTACGATTCTAGCCGAATCTGAATCACTTAAAACGATCACTCAAACAAATTTGAAAGTGGTACAACTTAAATCATACCACCAGAATGTTAGAAAGAAGTTTTACAGAAAAACCAACAAAGAAGAGATTGACTATTCAAAGATTTATTTACAAAATCCAATAGTAAACACAAGTAGAATATTTGATGTGTTTTATCTACCTCTAATTTTTAAAAATGGAAGATGGAGGATTATATTAGAGATAATTAAAAACATTAAGGGTTACCACTTTTTTTTGCCTCTCAGTGTATTAGAGCTACAGTCAAATTGTATATAAATTTTATTCTTCTATAATTTCTCAAAATTAGTATTAATAATCTAAATTAGAAGAAAAAAAATGGTTGCCTAATTTCTGTAACTTTATTTTTTATTAAATCAAGCTAAAACTATACCGTAGTAATATAGAATATGAGAAATAATTAAGTTCAATTTTCAAAACAAAATACCTTAGCACTTAATTACTTACTAAGATGAAATGCAATAATAAGGTTAATAAGTTGTTAATTTTGTAATGAACGATTTTTGGAAAAAAATTCCTCCTCAAAAATTCATCGATGCATTCAGCAAATATTGTTTTCCTTCAGAACTCAATAATTTTTTAACGTGGTTAAAAAAATCTACAGAAAATAAATTGAAATCATCGAGTTTTGAAGGAAAACTACAATATCTCCAGAACGAATTGATGAATTTTTTAACGAATTAGTTTCTGGTTTTGATTTTTATTTATTTATTTATTTTTTAATAGAAGCTACTTTCAAAATATGTAAACAAATCAAAAATTCATTGATTCATTCTTGATACATTGAAAATTTCCTTTAGAACTTGTTAATTTCAATTTATCGTGTAAATGATTGTTTTGTCTAATGTTAAGTTTACAAGAAAAAAAAATCATCACAAATTTAATTTTCAATTTTCTCCAACCAGTTACAGGATAAATTAAAATTATCGAGTTCTGAAGGAAAGCTTCAATATATCTAGAACAAGTTCTAGAATTTTTGAATTTCTGTTTTAATTTTTATTTACTTATTATTATTACTTTTTTTTAATGGAAACTAAGTTCAATTTTTTCATTCTTCTTTGGCCAAGAGTGTCGAGAGCAATAAGAATAGAAAACATGAGAAAAATGTAGTTAAATTAAAAAAAAAAAAATAATAATAATACTTTGGAGCAATAAGTAATAAGCTGTAGATTTTGTAATTTTATTTGCTATATTAAATGTACTCATTTAAAGTTCTGAAAAGTGGACATTAAACTTAATTCGAGAAGTAATTTTTATCAGGTTAATGAAATATCTAACATTTGAAAGAATGAAGTATAAAATCAAATGATTTTATTATTTATGTAATCTAATGATTTATTATAAAAATGTTTTGATTTGCTTAATTATTTATTTATTTTAGATATAAATGGGTTTTTAAATAGCATTACTCACATATCGAAACGATACATATTAATAATAAAGCTGCAGCCAAGCACAGTTTCATTGTAATTATTATAGTTGAACACCTCTGGCTTTCAAGTTTCAACTAATTTCCGATTCGATCCTAGGCTTGTTTTTATAAAAGAGATGTAGTGGGGTGACTTCCCAGATTTGGCCACGGCCGACGGGCGCTGTAGGAGTAACCATTGTCAAGAATTTTTGTGAAATTTTGAAAAACGGGCCATTTTTGTAAAAAGCCTGTTCAGAAATTGAATTTGGACGCGGTGAGCGTGTAAGCGAACAATGTAAAATTAGATATTAAAAGGGGAAAAAATTTTTGTTTTATAAAATTGTCTAAAATTGGTAAGGACGACTAGATTTATAGATTCATAACCACGAGGGCCACATGGAGAAATCTCACTTTGAACTGAATTTAAAGACATCATGTACTTGAAATTTCCTTATATGCACACATTTATAACTTTCTAAGCATGTTTAAAAAATCTCGATTAATTTCAGATTTTGTTTGTTATTCTGATTAACCTCGCCATGGTGTGTTTGTGTGTCTGTTTTCTTTTAAAAATATATCGACGGCAAAAAAAAAAACACGAACACGTTTTTTAAATTATTTTCTTAATACATAATTTAAAACAAATAATTCAAGGGTTCCACCCTGGCCTTGATAAACTTCGTGGACTGATGTGGTGAAACGTCCTCTCTATACGTCTTTAGAAAATTAACGACTTCATAAACATCGTGGTTTCAGGAAGAAGGAAAGGAAGTCGTGTTCTTCCTGTCGGTCGTGAGCTTCCTTCTTTAACCTATAATTTGTAATGTTTACCCCTCAATAAAGTAGTTAAAATTGATATAGAATAGATATAGAATCCTGCGGTTTCCTCAGCTTATAAATTAATCAAGATAAAACATAATTACAACGTTATATGATCTTTGACAACAAAATTATTTAATACATTAATTTAGTATATTTATCATTTTCATATTATTGCTATCGTAGTAGAATCGATATGAGATTTTTCTTAAAGGGGCCAACAATGTACAAGGAAAAACTACTTATAGTTCGAAAGCTACACCACAAGAACAAAAATAATTTAAATACTATATTCAACAAAAACCCAAAATGAAACCTATTAAACTATTTTTTTAGAGGTGGGAAGGGGATTTCCAATTTTGTTGCACGATTAAAAAAATCCTATTAAAATAACGTATAAGTTTTACAAAAAACATGGCCTCCTATTTTTACGCTGTTTATTTTATTTAACTAGGTATGGTCCGAAAGGTAATTTTAAATTGGCGTGTTAATCTAACCTGATATTTGTCAAATGTAATGCTCTAATTCATTCGCACATTTTGAAAGTACTACCCGAAAAAACTTCAGTAGCTCCAGGATCAAGCTATAGATTTTTGAGTAATTAGTTTCAGTTTTTTCTTTTTTTTAATAGAAAGGACTTTCAAAATCTGTTAAAAAAAATCATCAGTTTATTAGGGAGATACCGAAGTTTTTCCCCAGAACTCCAAAATTTCAATTTATCTTGTAACTGGTTAAAAAAAGTGAAAAAAATACTTGAAAAAATATGATAATTTAATTTTGTGTTGAATTTTTTAAAAACTAACAAATAAACAGCAACAATCAGTTGCACAATAAATTAAAACTAACAACTAACTAGCTGAAAGAAAACTTCAATATCTCCAAAACGAATCGATGAATTTTTGTGTTTTGGTTTCCATTTTTTAGGAGAAACTACTTTCAAAACGTGTGAAAATTCAACCTCAACAATTCATCGATCTGATCTGGAAATATTGAGTTTGATATGGGATAGTTTATCCTTTAAACTCGATAATTTCAATTTATCGTTTAACTGATTGTTGTTGTTTAACCTTATGTTTAAAAAAATCAACAGAAATTAAATTTTCAATTTTACTCTTTTTTAACCAGTTACATGATAAATTGAAATGATCGAACGGTTTATAGTTCATAGTCGATGAATATTTGTGGTTAATTTTTTCGCACATTTTGAAAGTCTTTTACACAAAATAAAAGATACCTGAAACTCAAAATTTATCAATTCGTCCTGGTGATATCGAAGTTTTCCTCCAGAACTCGATAATTTCAATTTATCTTGTAACTGGTTAAAAAAAGTGAAAAAATTACTTGTAAAAATATGAGAATTTAATTTTGTGTTGATTTTTTTAAAACCTAACAAATAAACAACAACAATCAGTTGCACAATAAATTAAAACAACTAACTAGCTGAAAGAAAACTTCAATATCTCCAGAACGAATCGATGAATTTTTGTGTTTCTGGTTTTCATTTTTTAATGGAAACTATTTCAAAACGTGTGAAATTTCAACCTCAACAATTCATCGTTTTTCTCCTGGAAGTTTGAATTTGATATGGGATGATTTTTCTTCAAACACGACAATTTAAACTGATCGGCTAACTGATTGTTGTTGTTTAACCTTATGTTTAAAAAAATCAACAGAAATTAAATTTTCAATTTTACCCTTTTTTAACCAGTTACACGATAAATTGAAATGATCGAATTGTTTATAGTTCATAGTCGATGAATATTTGTGGTTAATTTTTTCGCACATTTTGAAAGTCTTTTCCACAAAATAAAAGATACCTGAAACTCAAAATTTATCGATTCGTCCTGGTGATATCGAAGTTTTCCTCCAGAACTCGATAATTTCAATTTATCTTGTAACTGGTTAAAAAAAGTGAAAAAATTACTTGAAAAAATATGAGAATTTAATTTTGTGTTGATTTTTTAAAACCTAACAAATAAACAACAACAATCAGTTGCACAATAAATTAAAACATCTAACTAGCTGAAAGAAAACTTCAATCTCTCCAGAACGAATCGATGAATATTTGTGTTTGTGGTTTACATTTTTTGATGGAAACTACTTTCAAATCGAGTGAAAATTCAACCTCAACAATTCATCGATTTTCTCTGGAAAGTTTAAATTTGATATCGTTTTTCTTCAAACACGATAATTTAAATTTATCGTCAAACTGATTGTTGTTGTTTAACGTTATATTTAAAAAATCAACAGAAATTAAATTTTCAATTTTACCCTTTTTTAACCAGTTACATGATAAATTAAAATGATTGAATCGTTTATAGTTCATTGTCGATCAATATTTGTGGTTAATTTTTTCACACATTTCGAAAGCCTTTTCCATAAAATAAAAGATATCGTTTTTTAAAATTAAATTTATTTATTAAAACTGGTCTTATTAGACCAACCATTAATTTTACAATAATATTACAGAATAAATAAATGTTTACATTCCTATAAACCCATTGGTACAATAAGATTTACATTTCACTATTTACTATTCATTTTTAACTAGACAAGTTCAACTACACAAGGCTTTGTTCTTTTTAATCTTCTGACCGTGTTAAAAAATATCTGAAATTCAAAATTCATCGATTCTAGTGATATCGAAGTTTTCCTCCAGTCTCGATAATTTCAATTTATCGTTTAACTGATTGTTGTTGTTTAACGTTAAAAAATCAACAGAAATTAAATTTTCAATTTTACCCTTTTTTAACCAGTTACATGATAAATTAAAATGATATAATCGTTTATAGTTCATTGTCGATCAATATTTGTGGTTAATTTTTTCGCACATTTTGAAAGTCTTTTCCACAAAATAAAAGATACATGAAACTCAAAATTCATCGATTCGTTCTGGTGATATCGAAGTTTTCCTCCAGAACTCGATAATTTCAATTTATCTTGTAACTGGTTAAAAAAATGAAAAAATTACTTGAAAAAATATGAGAATTTAATTCAAAATCAATATCTCTAGAATGAATTTATGAATTTTTGTGTTTCTGGTTTCCATTTTTTTTAATAGAAACTACTTTCAAATCGTGTGAAAATTCAACCTCAAAATTCATCTATTTTCTCTGGAAAGTTTACATTTGATATCGTTTTTCTTCAAACACGATAATTTAAATTGATCGTCTAACTGATTGTTATTGTTTAACGTTATATTTAAAAAATCAACACAAATTCAATTTTAAATTTCCTGCTTTTTTTACACATTTACACTATAAATTGGGATTATCGAGTTTTGAAGGAAAACTTCAATATTCCAGATCGAATCGATGAATTTTTCAATTTCTGATATAATTTCTCTTAGGATGTAAAGGTATTTTAAAATGTGAGAAAATATAGATGACTACATTCGAAAAATAAAGTTGATCAGGTCGGCGTTATCTTATTATGTTCTTACAGCACTAACAGATTCTACTTGAAAAATTACCTTTGGAACTAGTCTTAGTTTTACAATAAAATAAGCAGTGTAATAATAAATGGCCTTTTATAAAAGTCACATGATATGTAATAAATCAATACAACTTTTTAGATTCATGTAATGTATTCGGAAATCCCCTTACTACCTCAAAAAAAAGAAGTTTAACAGATTTCATTTTGGGTTTTTGTTGGATGTAGGATCCCAGGCCCTGAAGATGATCTCAATAAAGATCGAAACGTTGGCACGATAAAGAAAATGTTTTTCTGAAACCTACATCACACCAGACCGCATCTCACGATTTCTAAATAAATATCGATTAACTGTCACTAATCACCACACACGTTGGATGTAGTATTTAAATTACTATTGTTATAGTGATGGAGCTTTGGAACTATAAGCAAAATTGAAAATTGTCAACAGCCAGTGAAACATGAAATAAATGAAGTTTTTAAAAGATAAGACTTGAACTAAAAATATAGGGGCATAATACAGCACAATGTTTTTGCAAGAAAGATTTAAAAAAATATTATTTAACCATGTTTTTAAAATTGGAGCTAAATAATCTGATCTGAATTCGGTTATTTCAGAACAAACGTCTTAGTATATATTTAACATCTCCGAGTCTTCACACAACTCGCAAGGTCAATGGGATATACCCAAGATATCTTGCTGTCCTTGGTATTCGTTTGTTCGCATTCTGAAAATACTCGCACGCAACCTTATTCTTTTTTTATTTATGGAATCCGCTCCTGGTTAAATATTTCGCAAAAATTTAGTTTGCGTGACCGTCTTTTAATTGATATGCGTGTGTCGAA